AGCCTGGCCGGGGGGATGGAGCTGGGGGCGGTAGCGGCACGTCCCGGGGGGGCCGAGCCCCAGGGAGCTGGGGCGGGGGGGCGGTAGCAGCACGTCCCGGGCGGGGGAAGAGCCCGGCCGCGGGGTCTGGGGCAGCTGGGGGGGCGGTAGCAGCACGTCCCGGGGGGGGGGCGAGCCTGGCCGGGTTGCGGGGGCCGGGCCCCAGGGAGCTGGGGGGGGAGGCCGGCCGGGGGAGGCGGGGCGGGGGCCAGGGTGGGCGGCGGGGGCCCGCCCAAGGCCTCCTGCCCCGGCTCCGGGAGACGGTGGGGCAGCCACGCGGCGGGGTCCTGTGCCCGGGGCATAAGCACCCCCCAGGCAGGCAGAGATCTGGGGTCAGCTCCTTGCAGGGGCCGGGCAAGCGGGAGTTCGGCCTGGACCCCGGGCTGGGGGTTTGGCTCGGACCTTTCTCTCGCTCACACACGGCCCATGTGTGACCCACACCCGCCTGGGTGCGGTGGTCTGTCCCGTCTAGTGGCACCGAGACCGCTGAGAGAGAGATTAATGAGTCTGCTCCAGCCTGAGCTCGCGCTACGGGGCTGTTAGCTCATGCAGTAAAGGCTCATGCACGAAGCCCCAGAGGTCCCCCGTTCAGTCCCGGACGAGCCCCCCTTGTAACACTGACGGGCTGTTCGCTGAGGCTGCAGCAAACTCATTAACTCTCTCTTTCTAAGTGGTCTCAGTGCCACCAGATGGGACAGAGCCCCCCACCCAGGCGGTGTGTGGGTCACACGTGCACGGGAAGGAAGCAGGCAATGACCCCATTGGCAAAGCTCGGAGCTGGAGGGAAAAGTCTGATCTTGCTTTCATCGCCGGTCCCAGCTCCAGCCTGTTGTGTGATGTTACCAATGTGGTGCTCTGCTTTCTCCTAGGTTGATATCACTCGGCTGCGTGCGTGTGTTCCCTCTGTGTGCTGCCCCAGCTCCGCGCAGATAGCTGACACAGCAAACCCGACGAGAACCCCCAATAACCACAGAGTCTAGTAAGATGCAAAATCACGTCGAGTAGGTTTATTGCGACCTCGGACACAATTGCAGTTCCCTGTAGGTTTCTGAGCCTAACTCAGGGCATGCTACGAGAAAGTGCCTCTTGGCAATGGACCTGGCTCAGTGGCGGGACTTTCCACTGCCCCCGTGGCCGGACAAAGACACCACCCCAGGGGATACATTCTTATACACAGGTACAAACAAGTTACACATCACTCCTGACGTATTGAGGTGCAACCCCTCCACGCAGCAAGGTACAACCCCTCTACGTAGTAAGGTGCCGCCTCTCACCTTGTACATGTCGGTTCGATCAAAACAACTCTATCCATCATTTTACCCTTTTGCCCCTGTCCTTGGGATGGGTCGGCCTGTTCCATGTTATCTGTGGAATGTTCCGGTATAGTGTGTCTTGGTACCATGTTTATACTGTAACTTTGCGAGGTGAATATATATTTATGCAACATCAGCCCTTTCCTTGCCAGCTTCTGTGGCAGGGCCTGTCTCTTGCTCACAGCTTAACTTTGCTTTATGTTAGCGAAGTCTTGACCATTACTTTAGTTCAGGCCTCATACGGGGCCTTCACTTACTACACAGCCCCGCCTCCATCCCAGACCGAGCCCCCGCTTGCCCCCCTGTAATGCTGCCGCAGGGACCCATTGATGCCCCCATTGTTGGGTGTTACTGTTTTGCCATGGTGCCCCCGTGCCGGGAACGCCTGCTCCGGCCCGGCCTGCCCACCCAGAAGCCTCCTTCCTGTCCCTGCTAAAACCCGCCGCTGCTGCCACCCCACACCTGGGAAAGGCCGAACAAGAAACGCTCAGCGTTCAGGTGCGGCCTGGAGACGGGCGCACTCAGTACCAAGCGAGGCCGAGCCCGTTCCGTGGGCAGGGAGCTCCCGGGGCATTTACTGGAGTGCGCCAGACTGATACCCGGACTGCGGTGCAGGCCCTCGGCTCCTACAGCGAACCTTGACTCGGCTGAGAACAACTAGCGTGTCTGTTCTCCACTCAGCTGGTCAGCGCTGTAGCCGAGCCCTGCCGGCCGCGCCCCAGGGCCCTTCCCTCCACCGCTCCTCGGGGAATGTTTTGTTTGGGGTTGTTGAAAAGATACCGTGTAGGACCAGCCCCCGAGGGTCTCCCCGACACACTGTACCCGTCTTGGCGAGAGGAGCAGAGCTGTGGACCATGGTCTCCATCCTGGAGCTTTCATGGATCTGTTCGATACCGGGGCCCTGAAGGCTCAGGGCCCAGACCTCGCACTTGAGCCTGTTGGCCAGGAAGCGGGGTGGGGAGCGGAGGGCGGGGGTGACATGCTGGCAGGGCAGAGCAGTGGGGCTGCCCTGTTCTGTACCGGTCGGAGTTTCCTGCCCGCGGAAGGTTGGCCACGAGGCGATTTCCCCAGGGTTATTTCAAAAGGCTTTTTGCTGCGCATGTCGTACTGTTCCATGCACTGTCCCACCGCAGGCCCAATGACTACACTGGAAGCAGTGACAGGGCACCAGGGGACGGTATCTAAGCTGGTCGATCAACTGTCCTGTCCACATGGCCCCCCGAGTGCCCTCCTGGGATTAAAAGGAGACGCAATACCGTGCGCACACATGATCCGGTGCATTCACTCCAGGACAGCTCAGCTGTTCCTAACGTCACACTGGACAGACAAAGGCTCCCTCCTTGGGGAGTCAGTGTGACACGACCGCCCATGCAACGCGTTCTCTGCATCTGACTCTCCGGCACTGACTCAGGCTTGGGGAGTGGGGACGGCTGTCCCGGCTGGGTGGGGTGAGGAAAGCTCTTTTCCTTGTTGAGGAGCTGGGATTCGGGAGCCCTGGAAGGGAGATGGTGATGTTGGTTCAGTGCTTTCCGCCTCAGCCACAAGGAGATAAAGGGTGTGGGGTTAATCCCTGGGGTGCTGCTGTTCCACCCTCCCCTTCACCCTGTGATGGAACGATCAGGGGGGAATTCCGGCAGGTGAACTGCACAGAATCTCTTCCCCTGCGGCCACGTGTTCGGTTCTTGGATTTTTTAACGTCAGTTAAAGTCCTACTAGTGAAATGAGTCTGACGCTCTTAGCTGACCGTGTCCAGCAGGCCTTTGTGGCCTGAGACAGCAGAGTGGGAGCAGGTTCATTGTGGACACAGCGGGAAGTTGCGTGGGGGAAGCCGGCTTTGCACCCGGCATCCGGCTCACTCTGGTGTGATCAGAGATGAAAAGAAAACAGCTCGTAGTGACACAAGTACAATGGGCCCCGTAGGAGAGGGAGAACAATAATACTTTTGGCCCGGTGTCATTTTGAAGGGGCACTGCTGACAATGACTAGTTCATTCCATGGCACAGAACACGTCTGTGCTGCTTCGTTTGGCATTGGTTCAGGCCTGGATTGTTGACAAGGTTTTCAGAGGGAAGCCTCACGGCAATCATGTACACACCCAAGGAAACCCAGGAATCGGCACTAAATGTGCAAATACGGGTCTGGCAGCTCCGGGAGGCCTGGGGCTGGATCCTGCAGGATCCTGAGTTCCCTCAACTCCCGCTGGCTGTACTGGACACTGAGGGTGCCCAGCTCTCTGTACTACGCAGGATTGGGCTTTAGCATGTCTGAGAAAGGGTCTGATCATTGTCAACAGGCAGCTATTGTGAAGCAGGTAAAAACGAGGCTTTTATAACTGCCATGAAATTCCGATGGCAACAGTGCTTGTTTGCCAGAGCAGGTCCCTAACCCTGCTTGGTTTTATTTTCCTTAGATAAGGAATTTAAAGCTTCCCCCACCATTTACATCCACTTCTCTCCTCAATAGCTGCACATTCTGAATGTATAGACAATGGCCATGTTCTTGAACGCACTGGCAGAACAATGCACTTTTCATCCACCCAGCCATTCACGTAGCTCCCAAATACTCTCCTGGCTGATGGGCAGGGCTGGATTTACACCTTAAACGCCCCTAGGCACAGAATCTTCAGTGCCCCCCCCCCCGCCCGCCTACAGCTGACCTTCGTGTTGCACACAGTTTTAGAGAGGCAAGGTGCCCCTGTAATGCCGGCGCCCCTGGGCACGTGCCTACTGTGCCTAATTGGAAATCCGGCCCTGCTGATGGGATGCGAATGAATCAGCACATAAGAGGTGCGTGTGTGTGCACGCACATGAGGGGGGCGGCGTAATGGTTTTTAGAGTAATAGTAAATAACATTACAGCAGGAACAAAGGAGAGACTTAAATATTGCTTATCCCCTATATAATCAACAGCAAACCTGAAGTTCAATGGAAGACCAGCAAACAGATCCTGATCAAAAACTCCTGGCGTAGTCAAGGAAACCCCCTGACGTCAGTGGAGACCTGTACAGAGCCAGCACTAGGCTGGGCTGACGTGGGGCGCTGGTGGTGTCTAGGCCATGTGGGAGGTAATTGTTGCTAGGCCTTGGGCAGGGTGAATTCCATCCAGTCCCGACTCAGCCGAGCAGTGCCCCTGAAGTCAACGGGGTCTCTAGTGTGAGTCAGGACTAAGGTGCTTCAGCAAGCGTTTGCAGGAGACATTTAGGAAGAACAGAGCATATTAGAGCATTCAGGAAGTGCAGTGATTTATTATAAATTATTATTGCTCAGGAAAGGGTTAGAAACACTTATTAGAATACAACAGCAAAAAAAAATCAGATGGAAATAAAAAATGTCACTAATTAGAACGTGACTGATTTTCATCCCCATCAAATGCAGCATTGATCATGTAGCTGTAGTCTGGCACGTGAGAGTTCTGGTCCAGCGCATCCCTTGATTGGGTCAAAGATGAATTCCTCCTTCTGGGGAATTCCAGTGACTTTTTCCTGTTCATTCTGTAAAGAAAAGTTAACGAGAAGTAAAGAGCTGCACTCCTCTTCTCACCAGCGGTGCAACAGAGATCAGACATGGCTTAAAATGGCGCCTTGAATAGTCTGGCCCACTCCTGGCTGTTCTGGGTTTGAGGCACGATGTAAGTAGTGTGACTGCTCTGAGCGCTGACACACCCTGAAATGGGGGATATGCCCCTCGCCCTGCTGAGCTGCAGCACGTACCTTGACTTGGATCTGCACACAACCAGGGCGACGATCGCCGCGAGGACGAGGATTCCTGCTGAAACTCCCACAATGATGTAGACCAGAGAGTTGCCAGGTTTCCTTGGCTCGTCTGAGTGAGAAATAAGAGCCCGATTTAGTACACGGGAGATGAGTGCAAGAAAAAAGTGCTGGAAATTCCATCTCAGCTCCATGATCCAAACAGCAAATGTGTCTGTCTGACTGACTGACATTGTGCAGATGGGCTTCTGGAATGCAAGCCTGGGACAGATCCATGCCCATTGTCACCCAGCACTGGGCTGGACCATCTCTCCAGCGAGCTACCGGAGCTAACAGCTGTTCCCCATTTCGAGATCTAACTCCCTTCCCTCCAATCAGAGCACCCAGGTGTGCGCCATGGTAATCTGGCGCACACCCCTTCTGCAACCACCAGGGCAGAGCGCTGCATAACCCGATGCAGCCGCACAGGTACCTGGGCGTGACGTGACCTGCTCCCCGGCAGGGAGAGTCGGAGCCCCATTGCTGTGATGCCAGCCAGAAGCAGATGTGCCAAGGCCTCTCCTAAACCCAGCAGGGAGTGGTGCTGCGAGCCCAGCTAATGGCGTGAAGCCGTTCTACTAAGCAGCCATTCAGATAGAAATTTCTTTGGATAGAAAGCTGGCTAGATCGTTAGGCTCAACGGGTAGTGATCAATGGCTCCATGTCTAGTTGGCAGCCGGTTTCAAGCGGAGTGCCCCAAGGGTCGGTCCTGGGGCCGGTTTTGTTAATATCTTCATTAATGATCTGGAGGATGGCGTGGACTGCACTCTCAGCAAGTTTGCAGATGACACTAAACTGGGAGGAGTGATAGATATGCTGGAGGGTAGGGACAGGATACAGAGGGACCTAGACAAATTAGAGGATTGGGCCAAAAGAAACCTGATGCGGTTCAACAAGGATAAGTGCAGAGTCCTGCACTTAGGACAGAAGAATCCCATGCACTGCTACAGACTAGGGACTGAATGGCTAGGAAGCAGTTCTGCAGAAAAGGACCTAGAGGTTACAGTGGACGAGAAGATGGATATGAGTCAACAGTGTGCCCTTGTTGCCAAGAAGGCTAACGGCATTTTGGGCTGTATAAGTAGGAGCATTGCCACAGATCGAGGGACGTGATTGTTCCCCTCTATGCAACATTGGTGAGGCCTCATCTGGAGTACTGTGTCCTGTTTTGGGCAACAAAAATGATTAGGGGGCCGAAGCACATGACTTATGAGGAGAGGCTGAGAGAACTGGGATTGTTTAGTCTGCAGAAGAGAAGAATGAGGCGGGATTTGATAGCTGCTTTGAACTACCTGAAGGGGGCTTCCAAAGAGGATGGATCTAGACTGTTCTCAGTGGTATCCGATGACAGAACAAGGAGTAATGGTCTCAAGTTGCAGTGGGGGAGGTTTAGGTTGGATATTAGGAAACACTATTTCACTAGGAGGGTGGTGAAGCACTGGAACGGGTTACCTAGGGAGGTGGTGGAATCTCCTTCCTTAGAGGTTTTCAAGGTCAGGCTTGACAAAGCCCTGGCTGGGATGATTTAGTTGGGAATTGGTCCTGCTTTGAGCAGGGGGTTGGACTAGATGACCTCCTGAGGTCCCTTCTAACCCTGATATTCTATGAACGCCCCCACCAAGCACTGCAGAGCATGCGTCCTGCTCCACGCAATGGCAGACCTCCCATTGACCTCAAGGGGAACATGACACTGGGCCTGATCCTGCAGGCCCTTACACACTGGAGTACCCTAAAGGGCTTCAGTGGGACTACTCACATGAGCAAGGGTTTGCAGGATTGGGCCCTTAGCCCGGTGTGGTTAAATCTAGTGCCCTAAAACATGTGGCCTCACTCCACTGGCCTCACTCCACTGACTTCAGCAGAGCAACTCCTGATTTGCACAAGTGTAATTGAGAGCAGAATCAGGTTCCGTATGTCCTGGTCACATGGCCTTTCTGTGACCTTTGGGCCACACTGTTCACACTCAGCACACAAGGTTTTTGCTGCTGGAACACTTCACTTTTCCAGTGACATTCTAAATAGCTTTTTTACCCTGTGTTTCAGCCTCACAGAGAGGCCCCTCGTATCCGTCAGGGCACACACAACTGAAGTTGGAAGAGCTGTTGCTGGATTCGCTTGTATCCTCAATACAAATCCCACCATTCTCGCAAAGATTCTGCAGACACGGGCCAGCTAGAGAAGTGAGAGAGAAACAGGTCAGCATCTCAGAATTGCCTACCCTGGTGACGCTTTCTGCTGTAGGTTCCCGTAACCAGCCATACTGGACCAGCCCTGTATTTTTAGGGCTCTTCCCTTTGGGGCCTGCCATCCCATATCAGCTCAATTCAGGATGTTGTGCGCCAGGCACAATGGTTTTTCTGTACAAGGCTGGTGCCACTGTCCCCACACAGCGAGACAAGGTGGGGGAGGGGATAGCTTTTATTGGACCAGCTTCTGTTGGTGAGAGAGACAAGCTTTGGGCCACACAGAGCTCTTCCTCGGGTCTTCTTCCCGTATATGACCTCACCCACCTTGTCTCTCTACTATCCTGGGACCAACACAGCTACAAGAACCCCACACCGCAACGCATTTCACTGGTGGACGAACACTCAGCAAAGACTTCACAGCACCAGAGACCAAGCGACGCGGTTAGTAATTGACTCACGTATGTAGCATCCGCGAGTTAAGTTAGCGACGGCGCAGATCTCGCTGCGTGCACACGCTGCCCTGGTGCAGGCAACGCTGGAACTTGTTGTGCACTCACAAGTCTGAGAGCAGTCGTCAGTCACAAACGTTTCTCCAGCCTGGAAGAGAACAGCTACGGATTAAAGGCATCTAATCAAATCAGCCAGGACAATATGAAGGATGCATTCGGGACCCAATCCTGTTCCCACTAAGTCTATACCAAATGTCCTGTTCGCTTCAGTGGGAGCAGGAGCAGGAGTGGGCCCTGTGCAGTTGGGTAAGGTATGTACAGGAAGCAAACCAGCAGGCTAGGAACCCCAGTAGCCTGGGAGCCCTAGACCTACTCCTAAGGACACAAGGAGAGCCCAAGGAAAAAGGTCACCCAAGGGTTTGAGATTGCGTGATGGATCCTCATCCCAGCTCAGCGCCCTGTGCAGCCAGGCAACGTCCAATTAGAGCTTGGGACCAGAGATAGCAGCAGCCCGCTGCGCTCCTATCCGGGGGGTGTTTATGGCCCGTAGCTCTGTGCCACGCCTCTGGCAAACACCCGGCATGGTCCTGTGACCTGCACAGAGAGCTGTCTGGAATAGTGATCTGTTCCGGCTTAGTCCTTCTGCACATCAGAGCTACAGCATTTAAACAGAAAGCTACAAAGCAGCTTCCAGGAGGTCTGAGCCTGCCACAGAACTAGAGGGAGTGCTCCAGTCCGCAGGGTCAGGCCCTGTTTGCAGGGTCTAGTTCTGCAAGATTTTGAGCACATCCCATGTCAGCGCCACCTCACAGGATCGGGCCCACAGCGAGGGTCTAATCCGGACTTTCGTAACTGGTTCTTTACCTCTCTGGAACCCCAGGGTGTAATCTTACCCTTGGATTCCCATGTGTAATTATTCAGAGCAACGATGGGGCAGAACGAACATGGACTTCACAAGGCAAGCACACGGGATCTCACTGCACTGCTCTGCAGGCTTCCCACAGACAGCACTTGCATTTCCCTTCCTTTGCCTTCCCTCTCTCCAGGGCCCAGAATGTCAGGGCATGGACTGCTGGTGCTGCTAGCCGAGAGCAGCATGCTGACGGGAACGGGAAGGAATGGAAATCACTAATGGGCAGAGTAATGCTTGACGCAGGTGCTGATCACCCCGGCGTTCCTCAGACATTTCCTACTGTACCTTATAATATGTGTTGAGGAAGCTGCAGCCACACTCCTTGTAGGGCACGCAGTCATAGCCACTGAGAACGTATCCCGGGAGGCATTCGCAGCCTTCGACACAGGGCGACTCGCACTCGGAGGAGGCTACCAGGTTGCTGCAGGAATCGGGGCATGCAGTCATGCAGCTGCTGTACTTGCTGTTTGGGGGACACTGCATCTCTGCAAGAAAAATCAGGAGAGTCAAATTATATCAGGGCGCTATTAGCAAATGGGGACATACACTGAGTCTCGTGAAAATCCCCACTGTGCTTTCAGCTGGAGAAGGCGTCCTTCCTCCTCAGTCCTGAACCACTGCTATGTGTTATTTCTATATTGCCTTTCCCACCCCAGAGATGACTGCATTTCAGGGGTAGGTGAAATGGTCCATATATGTTTTAGAAGAAACAGCAAACCCTGATTTCTGGGTCCTATAAGGGGCTCTTCTCTTCTCACCACAAGGCGTCTGCGCTCTCCAGTTTCCCAACGCGATCCCGTTCTCCTGACAGGCCAGCGCGTACTCCTCCAGGTGCCGACACAGCACAGGGCTGTTCTCGGCTTCCACACACAGGTCAAAGACACAGCCCCTGTGTGCGACATGAGAAAGCATTCATGCCAAATACAGTAGTTACTGCTTTCCCCCCATTCCCCATGGGGCCCTGCAAACAATGCCCTGGGCACGGCTGAGAGAGGAAACAATGGTGGAACCTTGGGAAGATGAGGTCATTTGTTCTACAGCGGCTGCTGCTAACATGCAACATATGCACATGCACCCACGCAAAAAACAGGGACATGAGTATTTCAGAGTAGGGTCATTCCTTCGGCCTCTGTTCCTGTTTGGTGACAGAGCTGTTTCAGATTGTTAATGGGAGATGAAGGATTTCCTAGTGCAGCTATGTCTGTGAGTACACACCCCTACACACACTCAGGGCAGGTCTAAACGCTGCACTGGCGCAGTGAAGATGCGACTATCCCGACGGGACAAGAGAGCGTCTCCCTTCAGCATAGTTAATCCACCTCCGGGACAGGCGGTAGCGATGTCAACTTGAGATGCTCTCCCGTCAATATCGCGCTGTCTACATGGGGCTTAGGTGGGTATAACGACGTTGCTTGGGGTGTGGATTTTTCACTCCCCAGCGATGTAGTTGTACTGATCTAAGTTTATAGTGCAGACCTGACCTCATACCACCCCCCAGACCTGTCCCATATGCACACTCACCATTAACATTGATTCAGAGGTCTAGTTTATTGATTATCTGATGGTCAGAAATTGTGACCCTGTCACCTGACCTCATAATCTTGAACATTGGCCTGAGTTTTGGAGTTGTCTAATACCTGTAATTTCCTCTGACTTCAGTGTGTCTGTGGGGGACGGCAGGTGCTAAGCACCTCTAAAAATCAGGCCCTGACTGAGAACACAGAGCAGCCCATCCAGGGAAGTTCAGAGGTGACAAGTGAGGAGTTTCATTATTCGTTGGCAAATGAATAGGGAGCCTGACTCCTTTGAACTACGGCCCCTTCATACCACTCTGGCAGCATAAAGGGGCCCTACAGTGGGTGTTAACTGTGTTTGCACATCCGGTGTGTGCAGTGTGGTGGTAGATGTGGGTCCCATGACATTTACACGCTGACAGAAGGATCCCACTGCAGGAGACTTGGCAGGCCTGTGTCCGTACCTGGGATGGGATGAATCAATGGGGTCCCCAGAGGTTTCAAGTGAGTTACCTGCAAACTGCAGGATGCTAGCGGAGGCCCGAAACATAACCGAGGAAGTTCTCATTGTAGCCAACAGGGCAAATGACTATGCTCTTTGGGAGACGCCTGTGTGGTGCAGTCAAGAAGTGGCACTGACAGTTTCAGCCTTTTTGGCAGGAGCATAAAGGCTGCATTTTACAAGCCATTAAACATTACAGCTGGAATTTCCAAAGGGGCCTATGGGAGTTAGACACCCGAATCTCACTGAATTTGAATGGGAGTTGGATTCCTAAATTCCTTTGGCTCCTTTGAAAAGTCCATCTTGGATGCCGTGTGGTTGTAGCCGTACTGGGCCCAGGAGAGCAGAGAGACCAGGCGGGGGAGGCAGTCTCTTGTATTGGCCCAGTGCCTGTTAGTGAGCAAGACACGCTCTTGAGCCACACAGAGCTGAAGAAGAAGTGTGCGGCTCAGAAACTTGTCCCTCTCACCAAATACGTTGGTCCAATACAAACTATTCCCTGCCCCACCTTGGCTCTCCGAAATCCAGCGTGCGAGTGGAAGGGTCACCAGTGCAGACGTCTGTGCAAGGAAAGGGGAAAGCCCCCTTTCAGAGCTAGCCACAGTGCAAATTCTTCAACCGACAGACCCACAAACACACCCTTTAAAAATGCTTAAGCAGAATCTTAGCTCTTGTTAATGCAAAACTTGGGCCTGATCCTCCAGGATCCTGAGTCCCCCTCAATTTCCAAGGAATACACTGGCAGCACGTCCCAGGATCAGGCCCTGGAATCTCTCTGAACACACAGGGCGAGAATACCTGGAGAACAGCGCGTGTGTGTCTCGAAGGTACTCACATCTGGAAGAACTCGACGGAGACATTGGACTGACACTTTCCAAAGGGACCTTTGGGATCGGTAAGAATCCCACACTTAGAAGTGGAGTTCACAAGGCTCAGTTCACTGGGATTGCAGCCTCTGGAGAGCCCTGTGTTTAACTCGACGTTGTCAAGCTCCTCGTCTGAAGTGACTTCTCGCCTGCAATGAAGAACAGATTGGCTGAGCCTCCATTTTCCCAGGATGTCCAGCGTTCACCTGAATACGCTCTTGGTACCACAGGGAGCTGGTCTAAGTTTAAGCAGGTAAAGCTAGGATCCTGGCACCTACGTTGAAGGAGATGGATGAACACAACAGCAGAGGAGTATCAGAGCGCCCCCCAGGATCTCACAGATTCCTGGATTTTAAAGTCAGAAGGGACCGTTACGACCATCTAGTTTGACGTGCTGCTTACAACAGGCCAGAGATTTCACCCAGCGATTCCTGCCTCCAGCCCACTAGATGCCTCTCAAGTGGTGGCCACGATGACACAGCTGAACTAGGACAACTGTACCTCAAAAGTACCATCACTTTTCAATGCCAAGGGTGCTCATGGACCATTGCCAGGTGCTCGAAGGCCAACCTGACTCTGTGTATCTGACTCCTGGGACGCATTTGGGTCACCCCTGGCCTATATATTGTTTGCTTATGTTCTACCAGACAGCCTGCTGCAACCGGCAATGCTCTAACTCATTCCATCTGCTCTTTGACTATCAGGGGAAAAAATCCTCTGGGTCAGGGACTTAACGGTGGGTCAGCACCATTCACGTGGCTGGGAAGGGAGCCTAGCTAGGGACGCGAGGAAGTGCAATGAATCGACACAATCTCCACAGCAGCCTCCTTTGGCAGGGATCACGGCAGTCCCTGGCAGAATCCCAGAGGGAGGGCAGATGCTGGCAATGGTGCCTGCCCTCCCTTGGGTCATCCCGCCCAACAGGCAGGGAGGAGTAACTGACACCTTCCTGCAGAAAGGCCCGAGAGTCCAGTTGGACACAGGGTCTGAGTAACCTCTCTATCCCTCTGGGTTTAGGGGTCGACTCCTTGGAAGCCAATGGCATGAAACTGGACTAATGCAGTCATGCCTCAGGCCCACGCTCTCCACACCCAAGGGCGCTGTCACTTCCTCACCTTAGCAGTGCGCAGGACAAATACATAAGTGGACCCAGAGAGGGAGAAGAAAGATCAGAGATGCACTACGCAGTGCATTACCTCCTGGAACATTAGCTAGGGTTTAATGAACTACCTTTCAGGAGCCAAGTCTGGTCTGTATTTATGTAGGGCCAGTACCTGCGCCGGGAGACTGTTCTTTTGACGGGGACTTTCCAGCTCTCCCCAAACACATCCACGTCCCTCACTCGAGTGCCATCCGGCTTGGTAAAGTCATTTTTATACTTCCCATCAAAGTTGCCGCACAAGCCTTCGACTTTGTCCTTGTAGGTGTTGGCCAGGGTTATATCTAATGGGGGCCAGAAGAAAAAGCGGATAGAAAGAAACCCGTAGCCACAAGTGCACAGGGGATATGGAATGGAATAGCAGGCAGCCATTCCATAGGCTGATAATGTGGCAGGTGTCCTGTCATGGGAGACAGACCTGCATTCACAACTCCTGCGGGGCTTGGCCCACTTATACGAGCTACATAAAGGAAATCACTGCTCATTGATAGGAATTATGTTTATTTATAGGACACCTTTGCCCCAGGGCTGCTACACAGCCCACATACTTGTGCGCACATCTCATTTTCTGCCGCACACACCCTACAGACTGACATATACCCTCGACTCACCTGTCCGATACAGTCTACACTGCAATAAAAGACCTGCAGCACAGCCGCGGCTTGCCCAGGTCAGCCGACTCAGGCTCTGACGCTCGGTGCCAGGGGTTTTTATTGCAGTGTAGATGTAACCTAAGGGATCTCCCGCCCTGCAAGGTGAATTCTATTGAATATCATTGAGTTCCTGGAAAACACACCTTCCTTTCCTGCAGGACAGCTGGGATTTTAAGGCTTTGGGACTATGATTATGTGACACACACTCCCCGAACGCCTCACTAAAATAATATGGCCTGATTCTGCTCTCCCTTACGCCTGCTGCAAATCAGTAGTAAAGACGTTCAAGTCAATGGAGTTATATTCCTGTAAAATGGGTGTAAGGGAGAAGGGCCTCGAGAACAATTAAGGGGAGCCTGCTGAGAAGCGGAGGGGTAGTGAGGGACCCACACTGCAGTCCTGTGGCTTGGGGCAGAGTACCAAAACTTCACTGGCATTTTGGAAAATCAGCGAGGGGGCAGGTCCAACCTTTGTCCCATTGCTCTAATGAGCAAACTAGGGTGAGTTTGCTTTTGCTAAACTTTCTCAGTCAGGTTTCGGTTTTGAATAAACAAAACTAGGAACAATCTGGATCCAGGTCCCATTCTACCCAAACCAATGATGTTCTGGGGGATCCAGACAGAAGGTGCCAGTTTTGCTGTCTCCCTAGTTCCTGGGAAATAATTTGTCACCGGTTATCTGGGATTTCATATTACAGAGAAGAATCATGCAGTTAGACAATGCAAGTTCACAATTCCCTTTGGGGTTGAAATCTCCGATAGCACATAGCATTCAACGCATTCTACAGTGAGTTCTCTTGGTTGTTCTTACCTAAGTTTTCAGCACCATCATAGCTGAGCGATAAGCCAAAATCTGTCTCCATGTAAATTCTCGTTGGTCTCTGGTATATGCGAAGACCTTCATGAGGCTGGGCAGGGGGGATGGTTTTCACTCCATCCAGCTAACAGAGACACAATTATTTATAACTCAGTGGACAGATCGAATTCAGACCCGCTCCCAGCGGAGGTGTGTAACACCCAGCTAACCTTTCCTGTTTGCAGGTTTTGTAATGAAATTTTCAGACAGCGAGAACCATAAACAACTGATGTTCGTCTCCTCACTGTAGCTAAATGCTCTATGGAAAGAAGCTGGATTGATCTGAATTTCAGTCTTTTCACACCACTCTGGGAGCCCTCTAGTTTTTGGCTAGAAAAGACGTTGACTTATATTTACATGAGCAATATGTGTACTAGTACAGGATGATGATAACGTGAGGAAGGCAATATAATGATTACAGCATCATTTATGTGTTTTCTCTCCCTTACTAGTGACACCAGATCTCACGGTGTTATTGTGAATCTCGTGATATTTGGTGTTGCTCTCGAAGCCCAAGCTCCAGGGGGACACAGGAACCTCAGCTTTTAGTAACTAAGACAGAAGTACATGTGCATCCCCTGGAGAAAAGCTTGAAAACATGACCCCTAAATCTTAAAAACCAGCGGGCAAAGCAAAATAACCCCAAATTTATTATTTTTTCAAACTACCCTGATTTTTAAGCCAATCATGTGATTTCTGGGGCCTGATCCCTGATTTCTGCACACTCGAGATTAGCCGTCCTGCCGCTATTCTCCTCTCTCCTGCGCCATTAGTGATTCCATGCTGGGAAAGCACATCACGCTCTGCCAGGCAGAAATGCGATCCGTGGTTGGGAATAGCTGATTTGTTGGGTTCAGAGGGCAGTGTTGTTTATTGACCTGCCTGAGCGAGACTGGGAGCCAGGAACTCAGGGATTTTAAACCCAGCTTTGACACTGATCTCGTCAGCAGGTCCCTTGGCTTCTCAGTGCCTCAGTTTCTCCATCTGTAAAGTGGGGACAGTTATCCATACTTACCTACCTCACAAGGCAGCTGTGAGAGATACTTGCTTAATCTTTGCAAAGTATGATGAGAAGCTGAGACGCTGAGAAGCGTTGGGTGCTAGTTAGTTTGCAGAAAAGGCTCGAATGCGGTGGTGCGTATTCTGTGAAATGCCTATTTAAATACAGCCCTGCATCCACACTCAGACATTGTTCCTGAGGCCAATCTCAGACTTCACTCTGAGCGAACACGAGACAGAGATTCCAGTGGTTATGCTTAAAGTCCATTTTGGGACCAGACAGCAGCATTTATGTTCTACATAGGCCCATTCAGAGACCACAGACATTCTGCTGCAGTCTAGAAACCCTGACTGGCATAGTCAGCACACCTTATAAATGGTCACGAATCCCTGTTGATCACGCCACAGTTTTTGATGTTACAGGAAAAACAAATGAGCGCTAAGAGTGTGCAGCTTAATGCACTTCTTACCACAAGCTGCTTCTTCTGCCCGAACCACACTGTGTGATTGTAAACACTGACACGGATCTCCTGGAGGAAAGAAATGTGGGACACTCTAGGGTAAAGCTTGTTCTTTCCCTCAATGCTGAAGGATGGCAGGCGGTCGGGGATGCTGGAGACAGTCTGAGACAGCATGTACGTATTTTTGCCTTGGAAGTGATGCATCAACCCATCAAACGTCAGGTAGTGTGGATCTCCAATGACGAGGCACTTCCCAAAGCCTAACAGAGAACAGTCACATTAGCCTCCAAGGCGTATGCAGAGGCCCGTCGAACAGGGCTGAGTCTGTGCTGTGGCTCAGTTTAATACAAGGCTGGTGAGTTCTGACATGCTTTCCTGTGAAAGCTACGATAGGTACTCAGATACCACAGGACGGACACACAGACCGGCAGGCAGACGGTGAAACTCATCCCTGTGCCGAGAGCCAATGGAAGTCCTCTGGGCTGAAGCAAGGTTTGAGCCCTTGGGAGATGTGCATGGCACATACAGTTCCTCTGCAGAAGGGTGAGTCTCACCGGGACAATGCAGGGGGCTTAAAGTGGCCTCTAAGAAGTGCCAGTTCGGTCATTGCCCAACAGTGGAATTTCAATAAGTTATAACACAGTGTTGGGGCCTTTACAGCTTGTGTCTATGTTTGAAATGACACTTCGTCCGGCTCTGACCCACCTCTCACCTACCTCTGAGGTCTTTGTATTTATTACTGTGTTTGCGAGACCTTGCAATCAGCTTTTAACGCGTTGGATAAAAGTAATAAAGGGGTAGGATGCGGCTGACCCCCATGAAAGTGCGCAAAGGAGAAGGACAGGGGTGCAAGGCGGCTTCTCCCCTCTTCAATCCGCCCATGCAGGGGCCAGCCACAATCCAAATCCCAGTTCTCTCCTAAGCGCAGGCGCTGCTTCATTCTGGTGCCACAGGAGTGCCAGGACTGTCAAATGGGGAAGGGAGGAGGCTGGAGTTTTATCATCCCGCCGCACTGGCCAGCTACACTGCAGAAAATATGCCACCCTGCTCTGCAAATCACAGCTGGGGAATCATTTACTTGGCAATGAAATACAAGAGCATCTCTAGCAGACCTGGTCAGACACCTGAAAAGCTGATTAATCAAATCAATTATTTGATGAGAAACAGCCCAGTCCCTCAACAGCCACATTCAACAGGTAACATTTGTCCAGCTCTGATCTCTGGTGACAATTTTTTTTCTCTTCTTTCATTGTTGTTCTCAAGCTAGCCATGCACTGGAGGACAATGGAGTAATTGCCAATGGATTCATAGACACTAGTCTTTCCTTCTTTTTAAACTTCATTCTCCGCTGTAATCTGAATGTGACCTTTGGCAGAGATAATCTAGGAATTCGTTGCCTTTTGCATCTTTGTTACCAACCAAATATCAGGTTAGCTTCTATTTAAAAAATACATCTCAATCTGTTGTTCCATTTTCCTCCACAAATGCGGAGTCTGTTAGGAGAACACATCACTCAGAGAGCAGAGACCTTGCCATGTTCTCCTGTCAGCACTATGCTATCATTCAAACAGTCAGGACTGAAATGGAATTGTACTTATTGCAAATGCAAATGTGGGCCTGATTCTTTACCCCGGCACCATCACATCAAGAGGGGCAAAGTCAGTGGAACTTCCCACTATGCTCGTCTGTGAGTGTTTTAGGCCCACTTTGCCCCAGCTTTCTGCAGGTGAAAATGACAACACAAGGAGCAAGGCCATGCAGGATCAGGGCCCTTGTGTTCTGTTATGTTTGGAAAATGATAAGTGAATTTTCTGTTACAAACGCACTGGGGGCCAATTCTTGTTGACACTAGGACCCCTTTGCACCGCAGTGACAGTGTCGCGGGGCCTTAGAGTGGGCATACGTTACTGTGACCTCTGCTTCTAAGGCTCCCTTGCATTGGTAAATGGCCCTCCCTTGTGAAACCAGCAATGGCTGCCTCCTGCTTGGCTACACTGGAGGGTGGAACGGACTCTTGGTGCCCACCCCCGCCCCCACACCTACCAGGCCTAGACGCACATACCTGTCGGTTTACATTTGTATTTCCCCTTGTTGTTGAGGAAACAGATCTCCCAAGCATCGCAGCCATAGGGCTGGCACTTGATGGTATTGTCCTTCTGACACTTGCATTTGTGGGTGCAGTGGGGACTTATCCAGCTCTCCCCAGCCTGTGGGAATGCACACTGTGTTAATGATACATGACATTGCTCTTCTTCAGGTGCGCAATACAAGGGCAGCAGCACAGGAAGTGAACTGTAATCTACTGTTCAGGCCATTCCTTGGCTGCCGAGCCCATGTGGGGATACCAGACTCCACTGGCTGCGTTAGGGCCACAGAGAAAGCTTGAGAGCTTAGCTTGTGCCCTGACAAACAAATACAACATTACCTTGGGATTCACGGCAACAGCCTCTATCCTGCTACAACACTACAGTGACAACTGAGCTGAAGACTTGCTGGTCTTATTGCCTTTTGTGTGCCAATTTAGACATAACACAGGACAGGGACAAACATCCAGAGTGACCTTTGGCAAATCACCAGCAGCCACGTTTTCAAAAGGGGCCACTGATTCTGGGGCCTCAGTTTTGGAGGCCCCACCTAAGATACTGTCTTAGTGTGGGGGATGGACTCGATGACCACTGGAGGTCCCACCCAGCCCTACGTTGCTATGATTCTATGATCCCTTGGTTCCGATTTGCCAAAGCTCTGAGCACCTGCAGCTCCACTGGCTTCATCTGGAGCTATGGCTGCTCAGAAGCTCTGCACATCAAATCCAAGGTGTCTCCGTTTAGTCACTGAAGATTTATTTCTATTTGACCCACCAGGGCAGCAGGCAGAAGCTCCAGCAGCTGTTTACAGCTGTTAAAGCCGATAATCACCTGGTACAGAAACTACTTACGCTGTAGTAGTTATCTTCATCATCTCTGCAGCCACACTCGCTCAGTGGTACACACTGGTCATCGCTAAGCACGTAACCCTCATTGCAAACACAACCTTCTGTGCATTCTGTTGGCTTTTCACAGAGGGAGGACGCATACATATTATTACATGTGGCTGGGCAGGGAGATGCACAGTCCGTGTAATAGCTGTTGGATGGACAAGGCAATGCTGTGTGAAGAGAATAAAAACAGCGTTATTACAATGTGCAAGAGAACTTGTCGATGTTCCAAAGCAGACACGCCTGGTGCTGACTGGAAGGACTTGGATGGCAACAGAGCAGTAAAGGTTACTTCTTTAGGATGTGATGGTGATGGCATAGTCATGGATTCATGTATTGTTAAAAACAGCTAAGCCTCTCAGAGGCTGTCAATTCAATTCTAGCATGAGCACGGCTGAGTTTGTGGGCACTGTGTCTGAGATGTGCTTTTCATCAGTCTAGTTCAGTATCACATCCAGTCTTGGTCACCATTCAAAAAATAAACATACAAGAGAAGTGTGAGGGCCAGATCCACCAGTGTGCTCCAGCGGCTTTGCATTACTCCGGTGACACAGAACAGCCAGAATCATGGTTTAACTGACTGGTTTCTGTCTCTTGCATTGCTGGAGTGGTACAAGCTAGCCAGAGTGCGTCAGCGAATCTGGCTTTTAATATGCCACAGACCGTCCTTAGTCCTTCCTCCAGCAACACTCCCATGGATGCCAAGAGGAGTTTTGGATGAGTCCGAGCCGTGTAAGGACGGCACTGCTAGGCCCAAAGGACTCAGGCAGTTGTAAGATTCCAAGTGCTCTCTAGTCTTCTTAACTCCCTTCTTCATTATAGCCTCATTACCATGTCTAACGATGTCCCTTTGGCTGCTCAAACCAACCCACCCCAGAGCTGCTTTTCATAAGTGGGCCTAGTTGTGAATGGTGCTGGTCACTTTTAACTCCCATTGACTTCAGTGGGAGATGCAAATGTTCAGGATTTGGCCCAGCTATGAACACAGGTCAGTGTTGTAACAGAGTCCTAACTGCAGCTACTGACACTGCACCTTCCTGGCATCTTTGATTTGTTAATTAACCACCCAGCTAACACCGCTAGTTAATTCTCACATCAGAGTCAGCCAGCCAAACGCCAGGCTGTTTACTCTGAGTCTACTTACGGCAGAATGTGTTGGTCCTCCACTTAATGACGACTCCTTGCTTCTTGCAGGTGTCCACGTAGGCCTGCGTGATGGCACAGAGAGTGGACAGCATGCCATCATATTTACACATGTCGTAGATGCAGGTCTGGATGAAGAGGTCAGGCTCGACCAGATGGTGACATGGTTTGAAGGTGTCCGACTTTAAAACATTGCACTGGGTTTCAATGCCTGGCTTCTCCTCTGCAGTGCAAGGTGGGCCCAGCTCTTCTCGTGTGTCTGGCAAGCAGCTGCAAGAAAGCACAAACACGGCGTGTTTCAGCTGGGAGAGGAACGTGCGGGCTGACGCCCAGGCTGGAATGTTGGCTGCTGGTGAGAGGAGCCAAATGACTAGTCCTGGAGGCTGCAGGGTTCTCTCTAGTCACCACATGCCAGCAGCACTGCGGGCTTTCACCACCCCATCAGCCTGTCTCAGCCCTGACACAGAGGGACAACCTCCCTGAGCTGTTCAGATGCAATGCTCATGCAATCCTTGGCATTTCTGCTGGGACTGCCAGTTCGTGCTAACTGGGATGCCCATTAGGGAATAACTGATACCACTAATTCACTTCACTTACGCTATCAGACACATCAGTGACTTTCGATTGTTACTGAATTGGTAACTAGCTGCATGGGGCTAACCACCCATTATTAAGCCACCCAAAATGCCTGGTATGGATTTGACCTGACAAAATGCTGGTGAGTGGTTCTGTAGCTCATTGGTAAATTTCATCACAGAGGGGAAAAAAGCTTTCACTCTATGCCTCTGTGACCTTCTTTCCTTCTGGGGCAGTGGCGTTTGCTGGAGCCCCAGCAGAACGCCAGCTTCTCAGAGAAGGTGCAGGAGATACACCAGGCAGTATGGCAGTGCACTTTCCTCTACTTGGCATGTTTTAGAGCAGGGACGTGTTAAAATGTCTGCAAGGGAGCAGGTGATCTGAATTAGCACAAGTGGGGGGATGAAAAATAGCCATGTTTACCCCGCGTCACTGTCGGCTTGCACTTTCCAGCTGTTTCCAAACTGCGTGACGTTGTTAGCCTGCACGCCATTGGGCATGAGCAGCTCATCCCCTCGCTGGCCGTTATAGTTACCGCACATGCCACATACCTACAGCAGAAGAGAATAATGTCATCACCCAGGGGGTCTCATCCCATCCCCGCTGCTGACCAAGGAAAGACATGGACAAATATTGCGAGAAATCGGTCAGTAACTTGCACGGCGCTTCCCAGTTCAAGCCGTCACTGTAAAACCTTAATGCCCCAATGGGAAAATGAAATGATATTGCAACATATCTGTGGCTCCCTAGGACTTCCTGGCATTTGCCTTGGGAGGGGGCACGCACTCCCTCTAGTAGAGAGGAGGCTAACGAGCTCTTCTGGGTTGAGCCAGCACTAAGCCGTCACTGCTGGAAGGCTTGTGCGGCCTGGAGGGAGAAAGCTTACGAAGGGAAAGCCTGCCATAGACGGGCAGTGACCAGAGACTGCTGGCTACAGGGACAGATCAGCAAAGAGGACGACGCTTGCAGAGCTCGCTGCCCCTGAGACTGCATGGACCAGGTGTGAAGCGGGGGTGACCCAAAAGGAGGAGCTGGAGGCAAGCCCCAGCCCTGATTAAAGACACTAAGCCTGCAGAGAAGCCAGACTGCCTCAGAGACTGGCCCTTTTTTCACTCTGATTCTCCCTCCCTTGCGGAAGGAGAGGGACAGGGGCCTTTGTGTTTGTTTGTTTGTTTGTTTGGAGAATCCCTTGTGTACCACAAAGAGGGGAAGGACTCTGTAAGCCACTCAAAACGTGGGGGACTTGGGATGGGAGGCCACCCATCACATACCTATATAACCCAAAGGGGAATCTCTGTAACTAACTGCCAGCTATGCACCCAGGTCTGTCATTTCCTGTAACTATCCCTTCGAAACACCCGTAGCTGGTCGTAAAAAGGAAAAGAGAAGAAAACAGCTTGTGTGTGCAGGCAGCATTACTGCAAGCAGTAATAATAAAGCAAGAGAGGAAAATAAATTCCAATCAAACCATAAAGCGGAAGAGGAAAGTCCACGCTTTGAAGTGATGCCTTTTATTATCTTAACATACTGAATCTCACCTTGGAGAAGTAAGATTCTGGGAGGCTGATTTCCAAGTGCTGATTTCCATCATATTTCACTAGCAGTCCAAAGTCAGTTTCCACCACCATGTAAATGCCCACATTTCCTATGGACACGCCTCGTAATCGGTTCTTTACCGGAGTTCGGACTCTCTCCTTATTGAGCTGGTGACAACAGACCATTTGTCAGCATAGAACATAGTCGCCTAGTAACGTTTTTTCTGCTCATAGTTTATTTTCTCCAGGGGATCTGGAGAACTTTAGCCTCTTTACACTTCCAACCTTTGTGGTCTCCTGGGTCGCAGTGACCACCCTTCTGGCCAAGGACTGGACAGAATTCCTGGGTCATGCCTTAGCCAGGCAGTTGGAAGGGTCACTGTGGGGGCACAGGTCCCTCCCCACCTGCAGGGCTGAGTATACCTCTCCATATAATCCCCAGTTCCTGGTTAGCTAATCCCAAGTAATGTAATCCAGTCTCACCTGGGGCGGCTCTCTATAACCGCAAGTGTCTAAGCCATATAGAGATGGTTGAGTCAGCTACCGCGTTTGACTGTGAACACTGGTTCTTTAGCTAGTTCAGGCAGTGGAAACTTTTATTAGATCCAGAGATTCTAGGATCAAATCCTGTAGACAATGACTCATGCAGGGACATTGGTACAGCAGCAGACTCAAAACAGGTGCCTCTTGCAGCTGGTGCTGCGAGAAATTACTTCATATCTCAATGTCACCCTACTGGGATACATGTGGTGGGTGAGGCAATACCTTTCATTGGACAACTGCACTGCACAGACCGGGATACACCTGGCTATCAATGAAAGGCATGCCTGTCCCTTAGTAAAATGTGAAGAACCCTTTTCCTAAGGCTGTTTTTATGTGCTGTTTTTAACATATCTGTTCTCAAAATACAACAGTCCCACTACGTACCATGATCGCCTTATTCTTCTGAAGGGTGATTCGGTTGCCATAGATGTCAATGTAAATCTCTTTGAGATACGTGGCCCCTCTTTGTCCTCGATCTTCGTTTTTGCCACTGATGGTCACAGGAACGACACTGCTGCTGTTGCAGACTTGGAGCAGGGTGTAGGTGCAGGTGCCCAAGAAGGTGTGCATCACTTTGTCAAAGGTGAAGTAGTGGGGATCTCCTGCCACCTGACAGGATGCTCTCCCTGAAGGTCAAATACATGTCCAGTGACTTCGGAGGATTTTATAGTGACCTCGGCTAATTAACGACTTCTGTGTTAGTGTCAGGTGTCATCACTATGAAAGGGCCTGAAGTGGGCTCCAAGGGCCTGATCTTGCCTCTCCTTACTAAGGCAAATTCCCACTGAAGACATTCCAGATTAAGGCCAATCACATTCCGGGGCAAATTTTTTGAATGAGACACCTCAGCTGATCTGTACAAAACTGTACAAACTGGTAGCTGGGCAGTCAAAGGGGCAACTGTTCCTGGTGCTGTGGGCTCTCTGCACAGTGCAGATGACCGGTGTGTACCCCCGACTGCAAGAACTTTACAAGAGCAGTTTAGACTCTTGCTATTTTTTAATCTCTCCTTCCCTATTGGTATTTTCCTAAATCAACCCCTTGGAGTTCCGTTTTTTCATTTGTGGCACTGGGTGATTTGGGGCTTGATTCTGCATTCCCCACTCAGGCCAAACTCCAGTGATCCTGCAAGGGTCTACGCCAGCTACACTCCCACTGCAGGGGAGGGAGCTCAGTGATTGCAAGATAGGGGATTTGTTTTTGAATGTCTCTCAGCACTGGCAAGAATTAGCCGTCAGCTCCTTCCTGTGCCATCGCATAAGGGACAAGGTATCTGGAGAAAGCCCTTCTGAACCAGAAAGGTCTAATTACTGAACTCACAACTGGAACCTTTCGCAGGGAGAACTCACCAGGGGAGTAACAACCCAGCACCCCATCCTGAACACTGCATTTCTCCAGCGCTCCACACTCCCAGCCTGTGCACGTGATGTTGTTTTTGCTGTTGCAGGTGCAGCGCTCAGTGCAGGAGTCGTGGGTGAACCAGTTTTCACCCAGCTGGTAGAGAAAGGAGAAGCACTTGAATATATAATAGTATAAAGACTATCGAGTAACGTCACCCTAGTGGATAATCAAAGGAGTTTGGACTAGTTAAATGCCTGTGATACTCTACATGTCATTAAGTGCCCCCACAGAAAGACAGTGTGACCTAGGAGATGGTATCCAGGCCTGGGACTCCGAGACATGGGTTCTAGTCTTGGCTCTGTCGCTAGTTGATCTTAAACAAATCACTTGGCCACTCCGTGCCTCAGTTTCCCCATCTGTTAAATGAAACTGACCTCCTTTGACAAATGCTTTGAGACCTGATCTTGAACAGTGCTTTATACAGTGAAAGCTAGGAACTGTTATTATTTACATGAACAAATATATCCACAGAACCTATTGATCTAAAACCAGATGAAGTGAATCTGTATTAATTAATTATGATCAGTTACAGTGACACTGAAAGAATCGGGGATTGTTGTATCTGTTTCTAGGTGCTCAGGGTAACTTGCCTGATGATAGTGATTGTTTCCATCCACACAACCGCAGCTGCTCTCGGGCACACAGGTGTCTCCACTCAGAACGTAGCCTTCCTTACAGAAACAGCCTTCCACTGGTAAGGAGCTGCAAGGGCTAAATGCAGCGGGAGTCACGCAGGTGGAAGGACACCTGCTCCCACAGCTCTCGTACTGGCTTCCTCCCGGACAGGAGATTGCTACAAGTGATAAGAAAAAACCAGATCACTGAAAGGAAAAGATCCCAAAGCAATTCTCTTGAAACTTCCCGTTTGGTCCGGGACAGCAAAGGCTTGTTAGAACGCTCTGCATAGGGTGACTGCTCTGTGCTGAGGTTTTTCTCCAGGGACAGAGTGGAAACCCTCTGCGCAGGGAATGACAGACAGACAGACAAATGATGCCTGGTAGGGGACCGGTCGTATCCAGGGATCGGAAATAGGCAACAGGATACAAGTCCAGCCTTTCACCTATTGACGTGGACCTCAGCTGAAACGTGGCTCCGGTGGCTTGTCTCTCGCAGCCCACAGCTGGCTGGTGGCTCGTGTGAAAGCCGCCTAGGTGGGTCACCAGTGTCCAGTGGCTTTCCACGCTCTGACTCTCGAGATTCCTGACCTTCTGCTGGTTGGCCGTTCACTCCCACCCAGTGTCCTCACTTTCCCTGCCCTCCGACTCCTGGCCTTCCCCTCTTCCCCTTTTCCCCTATCTCCTCCCTTCACTGTCCCCTCTCCTTTTCTCCTCCCCTTTCAGCTAATCCCCTCCGACAAACCTAAACAACCAACCCAATCCCGGCAGGCCCATGCCCTTTACAATGCAGACCCCTGCTTCCTCTGCTTGTGTCTTACTCTCTCCCTCACCCTGCGCCTGTCTTGCCTAGTCAGAGTGGAACGGGGCGTTGGAGCAGAGGCTGTCCTTTGTTACTTATACAGTACCCAGAGCAATGGGCCCCCATCTCAGCTGGGGTCTGTAGGTGCTGCTCTAATATACATAACAAATCATACAAACAATTTAGGGGTAAGGAGAGTTTTTTGCACCTTCCTCTGAAGCAGCTGGTGACGGGCGCTGTCAGAGACAGGACCCTGAGTTTGCTGGCGCATGGCTCGGTTCCAATGGGGACCGTTTAGCGCCTCGATAGGATCTCTCCAGAACAGAGCTGATGCACACCGTGCACACAAGGCGGGGGAAGGTCGCCCTGCAGCCTCCTGTGCAGCACCTGTTCGATGGGCTACTGGAGCAACGGTGGCCCTGGTTCTCCTCTGGCTCACTCCAGCTTTACACGGGAGAACCTCCATGGACTTCTGTGGCTACTGCTGATTCCCACCCATGGAAGTGAGCGGAGACACAGACCCTCTTCCTCTAAACTGCCAGGCTGGTGCCTTGCAAAAGGACTTAACATTCCTTCTTAACAATTACAAGTAGAAGGGACTGTGGTGAGTTTCACTCGAGTCACGGGTACTACAGCTTGCACGGCAGCTCCCCAGACCGCGGACGCTCTATGGATAAAGAGAGGATTTCAACCTCTCCGGCGCTCTTATTTTACCAGCACGAAACTCAGACACATTAATACTTAGATGCTTTGTGAGGCTAGATCAGATTCAGTCTGAACAGTATAACAAACCTGGCAGAAGGGTGTGGAAAAATTGGAAAGAGTCCAGCGGAGGACAACAAAAATGATTAGGGGTCTGGAGCACATGAGTTATGAGGAAAGGCTGAGGGAACTGGGATTGTTTAGTTTGCAGAAGAGAAGAATGAGGGGGGATTTGATAGCAGCCTTCAACTACCTGAAAGGGGGTTCCAAAGAGGATGGATCTAGACTGTTCTCAGTGGTGGCAGATGACAGAACAAGGAGCAATGGTCTCAAGTTGCAGTGGGGGATGTTTAGGTTGGATATTAGGAAACACTATTTCACTAGGAGGATGGTGAAGCACTGGAATGGGTTACCTAGGGAGGTGGTGGAATCTCCTTCCTTAGAGGTTTTTAAGGCCAGGCTTGACAAAGCCCTGGCTGGGATGATTTAGTTGGGGATTGGTCCTGCTTTGAGCAGGGGGTTGTACTGAGGTCTCTTCCAACCCTGAGATTCTATGATTCTATGATTCTAGGATCCAGTGTAGAACTGGACCGGACTCAGGACAAGAGAAAGGAGAGACCATCTTCTAAGCATTACGGAAGAGGAAAGTCCATGCCATCAGGAAATACAGGAAGCTCTATTTTTTAAGAAATTCTTGCATTAAAGAAGTTGAATTCCAGAAATTAATAGTTATAAATGACAACACTCACGGCACAAATTATTATGTCTCCATTCTCTGCAGATCCCAGCATTTGTGCACGACTCTGCATAAGCCTGCAGCCCATTGCATAAGGACACTGTCGGCTCTTTAGCGTGACACATGTCGTAAACACAGTTTTCCAAGAAATTCTCTGGAGCTACTTTGACGTGGCAGTCCTTGAAGATACCTACGTAAATCAAGAAAGAAACACAATCACAGAAAGACGAGATGGAAGAAGCTGAGCCGAGCTTGAAGTGCAATTCCCAAATAATCTTCATGTGCTGGTGCCATGTGAATGCATGATCCAGTCTGAACAGGTAAAGGAACACAACTCCTGGGGGTTCTAGTGCGGTTTTTAGCACTGGGGGCTGTACACATTTCAAGGCCCAGGTACAGGCAAGTGCATGCTGTAATTTGGAGTGATTTGAATCAGTTTGCCCAGGACTAAGACACTGCCATGGTACCTGTCGGGTCGGTGATCATGCCACAGGCTGTGTTCTTCCTCGCTTCACTCTCCAGCAGGGGGTCACAGACTAGTACTTCGTCAGGGGAGCATCTGGCAAGGGATAAAGAAACATGCATCAAAAGATTTTCTATCTCCCTGAGCAAGATCTGGAAAGGACTCCTGACTGGGTCAGCAGGTGACCTCCCACCCACCAGCAGGTCTTCCTAGACTGGGAGACAGCAGAGCCCGAAGGCAGGTGGTAGCAGGCCAGCCACTCACTCCCTGCTCATGGCCAACTGGAGAGGGGGCTCTTGGGTGTACTGGAGAGGATGGGAGTTGTGCTCAGCCCTAGAGGAGACTAGGTGGTGGAGTCATGGCTGGGCGCCCTGTGGCTGAGTATGCAGCACGCTTTCCTAGAGCTTTTGTAGCAAAGACCAACTGATTCGCTTCCCTCTGTACATACATGCTGTTATTCTCTGCCACTAGCCAGCTCTCTCCAAGCTCAGTGGAATCTCCTGCAGTGCTGCCGTTCGGCTTTAGGTTGTCATCCTTTGCGTCACCATTGTAATTACCTACAAAAAATGAAAAACGTGCAGAATACGTGAAATTCACAACTAGAGAATGCACATTAGCATGTGGTTGTCAAATATACTGTAAGGAACTGGCTAGTGTGTATGTGCACCAGTGCCCTCTCCGGGAAGGAGTAAGAATTGCTCCCTGCGCGTCTCAGACGCCGCACTGTTAACAGCTGATGACGATTCCGCTGTAGATTAAATGGTAGGGGTCTGTGTTGTTGGAGCAAGTGATTTGGCTTTCTGACTGTGTCAGATCACATGGTGACTCGGGTAAATGGGTTACAATACAATAAGAACTAACCTGCACCCTTACACTCAAACTGGATCATTCCTGAGACTTAGAAGCCGTGTGGGTAACACTCAAGGAAATGTCATCCCCCGGGGAACTTCCAGTCCATCCAGATCCAGGGAGAAGCAGATACCTCACAACACAACCTACTCTTGCAATTTAATTCCAGGAGTTGGGTTTAATGTGCAGGTGGCTGGGTGGTGTTGGTGGCCCCTGCCCTAGAAGAGGTGAGAGTAGATGACGTGTGCTCCCTTCTGGCCTTAAACTCTAGCACTCCGCTTTTCATAGCCCCATTTTCATCCCAGGGAAATGTGGATGTGCTTCCGATAAGCATCTGGGCTGCTGGACCGTTATTCCATATAAGGGGTACACTGGCCCTTTAAGGCTAGAGGCGGCCAGAAGACCCCATTCCAGGAATACTGGAAGGAGCAAAGGCAAAGGAAATGGCCTAAGCCAGAGGAGAGGAAGTAGTCCTAGGGAATGAGTAGTTGGAAGGGAAAACCCAGGACACTGCCCCTGTAAGGGCCCGGGCCCAGGAGCCCTGTAGTGCAGGGCGGGGCAGGACTCCTCTCTCTCCCAGCCAACTGGGAGTAGCTCTCCCGAGGAGGGCAGTACACATGGTGCCTTCTCCCTCAGAACAGGGAGAGGCTGACAGGAGAAGGAAGCCAAAGCCAGAAGGCTGAGCTCCAGCTGGGAAGGGCTGGGAGCGGCAGCTTCACCAGGAGCAGATGGGCATAAAAGGAGAGCCCCGGGTGTGGTACAAGAACCAGAGCTTTGCACTGTTTCTTCTTATGAAACCAGCCCCAGACGGGATGGCGCATCGCCACAAGGGGGCGCTCAGGGGGCAGCTGCCCTGATACATCCCTGTTGAACCTGCGGAGGTTCAAGTATTGCCAGGCTTATCAGCTGGCCATCTAATTGGTCTCTGCTCGCTCCGGAGGGGAGTTTCTCACTTTGTCTTGCAGCAGACCCACCTCTACTGCAGCTGGACAACAAAAAGCAGCTCTAAAAAGGAGGCTCAGTGATCAGAGGAGCCTTTGCCCATGCTCGGACTGTAGCGACGACAGTGCTGAGACAGTTTGCATCTGCCAGTCCAAGGAACAACACAGCAGAGCAGAAAAGTTCAGGACGGCTCTTAAACAGAGACTTGGAAATCTCTCCTTAGCCACAAGAAGGGCCTTAACGTTTTATTATCGTTTCCAAGTTTAAAGAAATGAAAAGCGTGGATTGGAACGGACAGTTCCAATCAAAGAGAGACAGACATTGATTAGGGGTCTGGAGCACATGACTTATGAGGAGAGGCTGAGGGAACTGGGATTGTTTAGTCTCCAGAAGAGAAGAGTGAGGGGGGATTTGATAGCAGCTTTCAACTACCTGAAAGGGGGTTCCAAAGAGGATGGAGCTCGGCTGTTGTCAGTGGTGGCAGATGACAGAACAAGGAGCAATGGTCTCAAGTTGCAGTGGGGGAGGTCCAGGTTGGATATTAGGAAACACTATTTCACTAGGAGGGTGGTGAAGCACTGGAATGCGATACCTAGGCAGATGGTGGAGTCTCCTTCCTTGGAGGTTTTTAAGGCCCGGCTTGACAAAGCCCTGGCTGGGATGATTTAGTTGGGAATTGATCCTGCTTTGAGCAGGGGGGTTGGACTAGATGACCTCTTGAGGTCCCTTCCAACCCTGATATTCTATGAGACAGACTGCGATGCAAGTGAGTGAAAACAGATATGAGCAGCCCTTGACCGGAGGCATCCAGGGTAGGACGGGGATAATATTTAGACTGTAGTTTTGAATGTGAGATTCCTCTCCTGTTAACAATGACATCTGCAGTTGTCATTTCTGACACTCGAGTTAACTCCTGTGTAACCAGAGTTCTCTTAAGTTACAATTGCCAGGTACCCAAATAATGATGGTTCCTTTAAACCAGTGCCCTAAATCGCAGTCCATACAAGTACAGACTAGATTACTCTGGGGTAAACATAACACGGTACAAAAAACCCCAACCAATCCCCAAACGTCATGATTTATTGAAAAGCTCCTGATCGTGTGACTTGACGGTTCTCAAGAACAGGGATACTCACCACACAGGCCACAGAGCTGGCCCTTGTAACAACCAGACACGGAGACCTCCACATAGTGATTGCCGTCAAATCTGACCCAGAGTCCGAAATCAGTTTCCAAGAGCACATAGCCACCGCTGATCTGGATGTTGATCTTGTTTTCAATCACCACAGGCAGGTTCCTTCTGGTGCCATTCACCTGTACAACACGTTGGGAAAATCTGGTCGTTGTTAAGTACCCCCATAATTCCCAGTGAATGGCCCACGAATGGTCTAGCCAACGAGTTCACTGGGAGGAATGTTCTCATTCACACTGGGAAGCTGGAGGAAATATGACAGAATGTTCACAGAAAGCAAATGTCAACTGCCAGTGCTGAGTATTCTCAGTGGGAGCCTATTTCTAAGAAGCACACCCAACCAATGAGAAAACGGAAACCCACCATGTGACCTATACATCCAATCAAATGTCTCAATTTTTTCAGGTCTCAGTTTCTAAGGATGTCAGATGATTAAAATATTCCTTTTAAATAACGTTTCACTTACATTCACTTTTCTGTTCTTCAGCAAGGAAATCTGACTTCCATAGACATCCACGTGCACGGACTTTACATAGGACACTTTGGTATTGGAGCCCCTGTGCTCATTGGTGGTGGACACGTGAAAGGGTGGAAGCCCCCTGGAGTCGTTGCAGACTTTGGAGAGGGTGTAAGTGCAGTTTCCCATGAAATGGTGAACTCTGCCATCAAACGTGTAGTAATGTGGGTCCCCTGAGGCACTGCAGGTGGCACGGCCTTAAAAGGAAGAAATGTGGATTAATCCCATGCAAATCCCACCACGTTACTGCAGCGCTGTCACTTGCGCTCCACAAAGCACTTTATGTGGTGCGCATTTCCTGCTCCTTTTCCCTTGTGATCAGGGACAAGATCTGAACCCTGCTCTCACAGGGGGAGTGGGCCTTGGGAAGAAGCAGTGAGTGTTCACTGGCAGCTCATGTTCCTTTCTGTAAATGCAGACTTCAGAGAAGAAGCTCCCATGGATAGCAACCCATTTCGCCACTGAGAAGCTAAGTGACGAGCACAAGGCTCCACTGCAAGTCAGTGGCATCCCAAGGTATAGTAACAAGATGACGAGTCCCCGTATCCTGCTTTCGCCAGAAGTGACCACTTCTTTTACAACCAATTCAGTGATGATTCTAATCCATATGCTGTTCATGATCCTATGCCATACCCAGCAGTATGATCTCTGAGCACATAGGAAACTGACAATAACATTGTGGTTCCCTGAAACCCTCTGGAAATACGTCATGGATTTTTCAAACTGTATTACCTAGAAATGTAGAACCCAGAACCAACAAATCGCTTTTAAAAAGAGCACTCTTTGTATAGGTTGAATCCCCTAGTCTCAGCTCTAACACTACGGCTTTGATTCTAAGTTGGAGCCAAACGCAGAAGGAACATAGATAATGGAAGTGTATAAGATGTGGTTAAATGCCTCTGAGGAGAGTTTGCAAGAGTTTGGTCTGTCCGGTCTGACCACAAACACTAGGGCTAGCCCCAGGTTATTCTCCAGCAAGACTCAAAAGCTCAAACAAACCTAGATTAGTTCCACACCTGGCTAGAGCTAACGGTTGCTTTACCATTTGTAAGGTGAAAAGGATTTGGGTAGCACCGATGGAATAACACTACCCAAAGGACTGGACTGTATTACAGTTGGACTTGCCTTCTGAAAACAGAAATGTGGAGTTTTCAAATGGTTATACTGGTCTAAACCTAATCTGCATTCTGGCACCAATTTCTCACCCCACATGTGAATGGGAAGGAGATTTGTCCAATACGGAGGAACCCACATTACCTGTCTGACAGGGCTCCACTGTAGTTGGAGTTGCCGTGGTTGGGGATTTTCCTGGCAAAATATACAAAGGAAATAACGTTAAGAGTTTGGTCATTCTGTTCTGTGAAGAATAGAATAGGAAAACTCTTGTACAGTTTTCTATTAGACTGGAATTTATCATCTGTGAGAAATCTGATTCTAGAAACACAGAGCACATGGCATCTATTAAAATGCCAATATCTCTAACGATTCCTCACAATAAACAGATTGAACGTGTCTTTACCCCACAAGTTCTAGTCTGTGAGCAAAGAGAAGCGTTTATTCTCAGCCACAGTCTCCTAGCAGATTTACCTGTGGTACTTTCTTCTGCTGTGGTGCTTATTGTGTGGGGCGGAGTGGTCTCCGAAGCAGGGGTTGTTCCTTGCACTGTTGTAGAACCTAACAAGAGATGGTCACAGCATTGGTTAGTGAGAACCAGGAACCCAGCGTGAGGTTCAGTAACATACATGCGGGAAACTGGGGACCCTTCTTCTAAATGGACCCTTCATTCTGCATCCCAAATGTTACGTTATTTGAACCCTCATCTGAAAGCAGCTACCAAGTTCACAGCCCACCAGGAAATGCTAAGGAGATTAAGGAAGCACTGAGAGATTCACGTTACCTGATGGACTGGTGCCTACTGTAGTTGGACTTGAAGCAGTCGGGGCTTCTCCCGGAAAAAGATACAAAGAAATTTACGTCAAGAGGCTGGTTATTCTGTTCTATGACAAGGGTCACAAGATAACCCTTGGATAGCTTTTTATTAGACTTCACATGACCATGTGTGAGAAATGTGATTCTAGAAACACAGAGCATATGACATATACCCAAACAGCAACCAGGCTCCAGGGACACGGAATCCTCAGAGACGCCTGTTATACAAACTACCTGCGAACTGGGAGCTGTGCCAGGAAAAGGAGCAACTGTTCCTGCTGCTGCGCGCTCTGCACAGTGCAGATGACCTGTGTGTACCCTGCGTGCGAGGACTTTGCAGGAGCAGTTTAGACTCTTAGTATTTTTTAATTTGTCTCCCCCCCCATTGGTATTTTCCTAAATCAACCCCTTGGAGTTCAGTTTTTTCATTTGTGGCACTGGGTGATTTGGGGCTTGATTCTGCATTCCCTACTCAGGCCAAACTCCAGTGATCCTGCAAGGGTCTACGCCAGCTCCACTCCCACTGCAGGGGAGGGAGCTCAGTGATTGCAAGATAGGGGATTTGTCTTTGAACGTCTCTCAGCACTGGCAAGAATCAGCCGTCAGCTCCTTCCTGTGCCATCGCATAAGGGACAAGGTATCTGGAGAAAGCCCTTCTGGACCAGAAACATCTAATTACTGAACTCACACATGGACCCTTTCGCAGGGAGAACTCACCAGCGGGGTAACAACCCAGCTCCCCATCCTGAACACTGCATATCTCCAGCGCTCCACACTCCCAGCCTGTGCACGTGATGTTGTTTTTGCTGTTGCAGGTGCAGCGCTCAGTGCAGGCGTCGTGGGTGAACCAGTTTTCACCCAGCTGGTAGAGAAAGGAGAAGCACTTGAATATATAATAGTATATAGTCTATCGAGTAGTGTCATCCTAGCGCAGTGGTTTTCAAACTGTGGGTTGGGATCCTGTACTGGGTCGCGGAATGTCAGGCACTGGGTCACGGCGGCTGTGGTCAGCACCACCACGCGGACTGGTAAAAGTCCCATCGGCGGTGCTTCCCGGCTAAGGCAGGCTAGTCCCTACCTATTCCGACACTGAGCCGAGCCTTTGGAAGCTGGGGAGTGGGGGGTGGAGGGGTTCTGCAGGTGAGAGTGACACCGAGCTGCTTGCGTGCCTCCACCTAGGAGACAGACACGCTGCTGGCTCCTTCTGGGGCGCAGCGCGGTCTGCGGTGCCATGACAGGCATGAAGCCTCCCTCTCCACCCCGGCTGCGCTGCTCACCGGGAGCCGCTGGAGGTAAGGCCGTGCCGCAACCCCGTGCCCCAATCCCCTGCCCCAGCCATGAGCCCCCCGCTTCAAACCTGGAGCCACTTCCTGCTCCCCAAACCCTTTATCCCCGGCCCCACCCCAGAGCCTGCATTCCCCAGGTCAGAGCCCTGACCCCCTGCTGCACCACAACCCTCCGCCTGAGGCAGAGCCCCCTCTCACACCACAAATCCCTCATCCCCAGCTCCAGTGCCTCACGGGCATCAACAAATTTCTTCAGCTGGGTCACCAAAACAGAAGTTTGAAAACTCCTGCCCTAGTGGATAATCAAAGGAGTTGGGAACAGTTAAATGCCTCTGATACTCTACATGCTACGAGCTCCCTCCCCAGTGAGACGCTGTGGCCCAGGAGGAGGTGTCCGGGACTGGGACACCTGAGACCTGCGTTCTATTCTCAGCACTGGCCTGCTGGATGAGCTTACGCAAGCCACTTGACTGCTCAGTGCCTCAGTTTCCCCTTCTGTAAACTGGGGATAACGATACCGACCTCCTTGGTAAAGCGCCTTGAGATCTGCTCTTGAGAAGAGCTAGGAATGGTTATTATTTACATGAACAATTCTATCCACTCAACCCACTGACCTGAGCCCAGACGAAGTTAGTCTCTGTTCATTAATTATGATCAGTTACAGTGACACTGAAAGAATCGGGGATTGTTGTATCTGTTTCTAGGTGCTCAGGGTAACTTGCCTGATGATAGTGGTTGTTTCCATCCACACAACCGCAGCTGCTCTCAGGCACACAGGTGTCTCCACTCAGAACGTAGCCTTCCTTACAGAAACAGCCTTCCACTGGTAAGGAGCTGCAAGGGCTAAATGCAGCGGGAGTCACGCAGGTGGAAGGACACCTGCTCCCACAGCTCTCGTACTGGCTTCCTCCCGGACAGGAGATTGCTACAAGTGATAAGAAAAACCCAGATCACTGAAAGGAAAAGATCCCAAAGCAATTCTCTTGAAACTTCCCGTTTGGTCCAGGACAGCAAAGGCTTGTTAGAACGCTCTGCACAGGGTGACTGCTCTGTGCTGAGGTTTTTCTCCAGGGACAGAGTGGAAACCCTCTGCGCAGGGAATGACAGACAGACAGACAGACAAATGATGCCTGGTAGGGGACCGGTCGTATCCAGGGATCGGAAATAGGCAACAGGATACAAGTCCAGCCTTTCACCTATTGACGTGGACATCAGCTGAAACGTGGCTCCGGTGGCTTGTCTCTCGCAGCCCACAGCTGGCTGGTGGCTCATGTGAAAGCCGCCTCGGTGGGTCACCAGTGTCCAGTGGCTTTCCACACTTTGACTCTGGAGATTCCTGACCTTCTGCTGGTTGGCCGTTCACTCCCTCCTAGTGTCCTCACTTTCCCTGCCCTACGACTCCTGCCCATCCCCTCTTCCCCTTTTCCCCTATCTCCTCCCTTCACTGTCCCCTCTCCCTTTCTCCTCCCCTTTCAGCTAATCCCCTCCCGACAAACCTAAACAACCAACCCAATCCCAGCAGGCCCATGCCCTTTACAATGCAGACCCCTGCTCCCTCTGCTTGTGTCTTACTCTCTCCCTCACCCTGCGCCTGTCTTGCCTAGACAGAGTGGAATGGGGCTTTGGAGCAGAGGCTGTCCTCTCTTACTTATACAGTACCCAGAGCAATGGGCCCCCATCTCAGCTGGGGTCTGTAGGTGCTGCTCTAATATACATAACGAATCATACAAACAATATAGGGGTAAGGAGGAGACTTTAGTGGGGGCAGAATGCCCCAAATCCTCCTACTGCAGAGTTTTTTGCACCTTGCTCTGAAGCAGCTGGTGACGGGCGCTGTCAGAGACAGGACCCTGAGTTTGCTGGCGCATGGCTCGGTTCCAATGGGGACCGTTTAGCGCCTTGATAGGATCTCTCCAGAACAGAGCTGATGCGCACCGTGCACACAAGGCGGGGGAAGGTCGCCCTGCAGCCTCCTGTGCAGCACCTGTTCGATGGGCTACTGGAGCAACGGTGGCCCTGGTTCTCCTCTGGCTCACTCCAGCTTTACACGGGAGAACCTCCATGGACTTCTGTGGCTACTGCTGATTCCCACCCATGGAAGTGAGCGGAGACACAGACCCTCTTCCTCTAAACTGCCAGGCTGGTGCCTTTCACAAGCACTTAACATTCCTTCTTAACAATTACAAGTAGAAGGGACTGTGGTGAGTTTCACTCGAGTCGCGGGTACTACAGCTTGCACGGCAGCTCCCCAGACAGTGACGCTCTATGGATAAAGAGAGGATTTCAACCTCTCCGGCGCTCTTATTTTACCAGCACGAAACTCAGACACATTAATACTTAGATGCTTTGTGAGGCTAGCTCAGATTCAGTCTGAACAGTATACCAAACCTGGCAGGATCCACTGTAGAACTGGACTGGACTCAGGACAAGCGAAAGGAGAGACCATCTTCAAAGCATTGCGGAAGAGGAAAGTCCATTGCATCAGAAGACACAGGAAGCTCATTATTTTAAAAGCTTCTTGCATTAAACAAAAGTTGAATTTGAGAAATTAATAGTTATAAACGACAACACTCACGGCACAAAGTATTATTTCTCCATTCTCTGCAGATCCCAGCATTTGTGCACGATTCAGCATAAGCCTGCAGCCCATTACATAAGGACACTGTCTGTCCCTCAGTCTGACACATGTCGTAAACACAGTTTTCCAAGAAATTCTCTGGAGGTACTTTGACGTGGCAGTCCTTGAAGATACCTGCGTAAATCAAGAAAGATACAGAATTACAGAAAGACGGAAGACGCCAAGCTCCACCACTAACCATCCCTTGTCATGGCAAGCAGTCAGTGCTCCCGGGCCGGTGTAGGCTGACCATGTCTATATATTCAGCCAGACAAAACCTGGAGCTATATACAGCCAAACACTGATGAGACTTGACTCCGTTTGGCTTAGGCCAGCCTCTTCTATTTACAGGGTGTGGACAATGTAACTCAAAGTGGACACCCTTTTTTTTGATATCCAGCTAGCAACGCCCTGGTAGGTACCACATACTGGTATCTGAGACACCCCACTATTTCCCTGTCTCCGGAGGAGGGAGTGCCTAGAGCACTTCAGATACCCCTGTAACAAAGGGGGGGAATGGGGACCACTGCACTATGTCTCTGCTGCAGCAGGGTGCAAGTCAACGGGAGCTCTGTGCAGGCAGGAGCAGCAGAACAAGTCTCTCAAAGTGCAATTCCCAAATAATCTTCACGTCCTGGTGCCATGTGAATGCACGATCCAGTCTGAGCAGCTAAAGGAACACAACTCCTGGGGCATCTAGTGCGGCTTTTAGAGTTGGGGGCTGTACACATTTCAAGGGGGACTCACAGCCGTGGGCCCCAGGGAGCAAGGTCCAGGTGCAGGCAAGTGCATGCTGTAATTTGGAGTGATTTTAATCAGTTTGCCCAGGACTAAGCCACTGCCATGGTACCTGTCGGGTCGGTGATCATGCCACAGGCTGTGTTCTTCCTCGCTTCACTCTCCAGCAGGGGGTCACAGTCCGGTACTGGCTGAGGGGAGCATCTGGGCAAGGCAAGGGAAAGAAAATCTTTTGATGTTTGTTTCTTTATCTCCCTGGGCCAGATCTGGAAAGGACGATGCCATGTCTGCACAGAAGGCACCATTTTATTACAGCCACAGAGCAGAATCTAGGCTCCCTGAGAGGCTGAGTTCTGCCCCCCACACCCACACCACAGGAGGGGGTTCCCATTCCGGCACTGGCCACTGTGCGGTGCTCCACAGCTCAGAGTTGAATTCGGGGTGGAACAAGCTGCTGCAGGAACCAGTGAATCTGTCTGGCTCTTGACTGGGACAGCAGGTGACCTCCCACCCACCAGCAGGTCTTCCTGGATTGGGAGACAGAAGACCTCCGAAGGCAGATGGGAGCAGCCCAGCCACTCACTCCCTGCTCATGGCCAACTGGAGAGGGGGCTCTTGCGTGTACTGGAGAGGATGGGAGTTGTGCTCAGCCCTAGAGGAGACTAGGTGGTGGAGTCATGGCTGGGCGCCCTGTGGCTGAGTATGCAGCACGCTTTCCTAGAGCTTTTGTAGCAAAGACCAACTGATTCGCTTCCCTCTGTACATACATGCTGTTATTCTCTGCCACTAGCCAGCTCTCTCCAAGCTCAGTGGAATCTCCTGCCGTGCTGCCGTTCGGCTTTAGATTGTCATCCTTTGCGTCACCATTGTAATTACCTACAAAAAATGAAAAACGCGCAGAATACGTGAAATTCACAACTAGAGAATGCACATTAGCGTGTGGTTGTCAAATATACTGTAAGGAACTGGCTAGTGTGTATGTGCACCAGTGTCCTCTCCGGGAAGGAGTAAGAATTGCTCCCTGCGCGTCTCAGACGCCGCACTGTTAACAGCTGATGAAGATTCCGCTGTAGATTAAATGGTAGGGGTCTGTGTTTTTGGAGCAAGTGATTTGGCTTTCTGACTGTGTCAGATCACACGGTGACTCGGGTAAATGGGTTACAGAACAATAAGAACTAACCTGCACCCTTACACTCAAGCTCTATCATTCCTGAGACTTAGAAGCCGTGTGGGTAACACTCAAGGAAATGTCATCCCCCGGGGAACTTCCAGTCCATCCAGATCCAGGGAGAACCAGAAACCTCACAACACAACCTACTCTTGCAATTTAATTCCAGCAGTTGGGTTTAATGTGCAGGTGGCTGGGTGGTGTTGCCGGCCCCTGGCCTACAGTAGGTGAGAGTAGATGATGTGTGCTCCCTTCTGGCCTTAAACTCTAGCAATCCACTTTTCATAGCCCCATTTTCATCCCAGGGAAATGTGGATGTGCTTCCGATAAGCATCTGGGCTGCTGGACCGTTATTCCATGTAACGGGGTACACTGGCCCTTTAAGGCTAGAGGCGGCCAGAAGACGCCGTTCCAGGAATACTGGAAGGAGCAAAGGCAAAGGAAATGGCCTAAGCCAGAGGAGAGGAAGTGGTCCTAGGGAATGAGTAGTTGGAAGGGAAAACCCAGGACACTGCCCCTGTAAGGGCCCGGGCCCAGGAGCCCTGTCGTACAGGGCAGGGTAAGACTCCTCTCTCTCCCAGCCAACTGGGAGGAGCTCTCCCGAGGAGGGCAGTACACATGGTGCCTTCTCCCTCAGAACAGGGGGAGGCTGACAGGAGAAGGAAGCCAAAGCCAGAAGGCTGAGCTGCAGCTGGGAAGGGCTGGGAGCGGCAGCTTCACCAGGAGCAGGAGGGCAAAAAGGAGAACCCCGGGTGTGGTACAAGAACCAGAGCTTTGCACTGTTTCTTGTTATGAAACCAGCCCCAGACGGGATAGCGCATCGCCACAAGGGGGCGCTCAGGAGGCAGCTGCCCTGATACATCCAAGTATTGCCAGGCTTATCAGCTGGCAATCTAATTGGTCTCTGCTCGCTCCAGAGGGGAGTTTCTCACTTTGTCTTGCAGCAGACCCACCTCTACTGCAGCTGGACAACAAAAAGCAGCTCTAAAAAGGAGGCTCAGTGATCAGAGGAGCCTTTGCCCGTGCTCGGACTGTAGCGACGACAGTGCTAAGACAGTTTGCATCTGCGAGTCCAGGAAACAACACAGCAGAGCAGAAAAGTTCAGGACGGCTCTTAAACAGAGACTTGGAAATCTCTCCTTAGCCACAAGAAGGGCCTTAACGGTTTATTATCGTTTCCAAGTTTAAAGAAATGAAAAGCGTCGATTGGGACGGACAGTTCCAATCAAAGAGAGACAGACAGACTGCAATGCAAGTGAGAGAAAACAGATATGAGCAGCTCTTGACCGGAGGCATCCAGGGTAGGACGGGGATAATATTTAGACTGTAGTTTTGAATGTGAGATTCCTCTCCTGTTAACAATGACATCTGCAGTTGTCATTTCTGACACTCGAGTTAACTCCTGTGTAACCAGAGTTCTCGTAAGTTACGATTGCCAGGTACCCAAACAATGATGGTTCCTTTAAACCAGTGCCCTAAATCGCAGTCCATACAAGTACAGAGTAGATTACTCTGGGGTAAACATAACATGGTACAAAAAACCCCAACTAATCCCCAAACTTCATGATTTATTGAAAAGCTCCTGATCGTGTGACTTGACGGTTCTCAAGAACAGGGATACTCACCACACAGGCCACAGAGCTGGCCCTTGTAACAACCGGACACGGAGACCTCCACATAGTGATTGCCGTCAAATCTGACCCAGAGTCCAAAATCAGTTTCCAAGAGCACGTAGCCCCCGCTGATCTGGACGTTGATCTTGTTTTCAATCACCACAGGCAGGTTCCTTCTGGTGCCATTCACCTGTACAACACGTTGGGAAAATCTGGTCATGACTAAGTACCCCCATAATTCCCAGTGAATCACCCACGAATGGTCTAGCCAACGAGTTCACTGGGAGGAATGTTCTCATTCACACTGGGAAGTTGGAGGAAATATGACAGAATGTTCACAGAAAGCAAATGTCAACTGCCAGTCCTGAGTATTCTCAGTGGGAGCCTAATTCTAAGAAGCACATCCGACCAATGAGAAAACGGAAACCCACCATGTGACCTATACATCCAATCAAATGTCTCAGTTTTTGCAGGTCTCAGTTTAAGGATGTCAGATGATTAAAATACTCCTTTTAAATATCGTTTCACTTACAGTCACTTTCCTGTTCTTCAGCAAGGAAATCTGACTTCCATAGACTTCCACGTGCACGGACTTTACATAGGACACTTTGGTATTGGAGCCCCTGTGCTCATTGGTGGTGGACACGTCAAAGGTTGGAAGCCCCCTGGAGTCGTTGCAGACTTTGGAGAGGGTGTAAGTGCAGTTTCCCATGAAATGGTGAACTCTGCCATCAAATGTGTAGTAATGCGGGTCCCCTGAAGCACTGCAGGTGGCACGGCCTTAAAAGGAAGAAATGTGGATTAATCCCATGCAAATCCCACCACATTACTGCAACGCTGTCACTTGCGCTCCACCAAGCACTTCATGTTGGTATGAATTTCCTGCTCATTTTCCCTTGTGATCAGGGACAAGATCTGAACCCTGCTCTCACAGGGGGAGTGGGGCTTGGGAAGAAGCCGGGAGTGGTCACTTGCAGGTCATGTTCCTTTCTGTAAATGCAGACTCCAGAGGAAGGTCCCATGGATAGCAACCAATTTCACCACTGAGAAGCTAAGTGACGAGCACAAAGCTCCACTGTAAGTCAGTGGCATCCCAAGGTATAGTAACAAGATGACGAGTCCCTGTATCCTGCTTTCGCCAGAAGTGACCACTTCTTTTACAACCAATTCAGTGATGATTCTAATCCATATGCTGTTCATGGTCCTAGGCCATACCCAGCCGTGTGATCTCTGAGCACATAGGAAACTGACAATAACATTGTGGTTCCCTGAAACCCTCTGGAAATACATCATGGATTTTTCAAACTATATTACCTAGAAATGTAAAACCCAGAACCAGCCAATCATTTTTAAAAAGCGCACTCTTGATATAGGTTGAATTCCCTAGTCTCAACTCTAACACTACAGCTTTGGTTCTAATTTGGAGCCAAAGGCAGAAGGGACGTAGTTAATGGAAGCGTATACGATGTGGTTAAATCCCTCTGAGAAGAGTTTGCAAGAGTTTGCTCTGTCCATTCTGACCCCAAACACTTGGGCTAGCCCCAGGTTGTCCTCCAGCAAGACTCAAAAGCTCAAACAAACCTGGACCAGTTCCACACCTGGCTAGAGCTAACGGTTGCTTTACCATTTGTAAGGTGAAAAGGATTTGGGTAACACGGATTGAATAACACTACCCGAGGGATTGCTCTGCATTACAGTTGGACTTGCCTTCTGAAAACAGAAATGTGGAGTTTTCAAATGGTTATACTGGTCTAAACCTAATCTGCATTCTGGCACCAATTTCTCACCCCACATGTGAATGGGAAGGAGATTTGTCCAATATGGAGGAACCCACGTTACCTGTCTGACAGGGATCTACTGTAGTTGGAGTTGCCGTGGTCGGGGATTTTCCTGGCAAAATATACAAAGGAAATAACGTTAAGAGGTTGGTCATTCTGTTCTGTGAAGAGTAAAATAGAACGACTCTTGAATAGTTTTGCATTAGATTGCAAATGATCATGTGTGAGAAATGTGATTCTAGAAACACAGAGTAAATGGCATATATCAAAACAGCAAGAGCACTAATAATTCATTACCATAAACAGGTTGAATGTGTCTTCACCCCACAAATACTTGTCTCTAAGCAAAGAGGGTGATTTATTCTCAGCAACAGTCTCCTAGCCGATTTACCTGTTGTACTTTCTTCTGCTGTGGTGCTTATTGTGTGGGATGGCGTGGTCTCTGAAGCAGGGGTTGTTCCTTGCACTGTTGTAGAACCTAACAAGAGATGGTCACAGCATTGGTTAGTGAGAACCAGGAACCCAGCGTGAGGTTCAGAACATACATGGGGGTAATTGGTGACCCTTCTTCAGAGTGAACCATTCTGCCTACCGACTCTTACGTTATTTGAACCCTCATCTGAAAGCAGCCACCACGTTCACAGCCCACCAGGAAATGTCAAGGAGATTAAGGAAGCACTGAGGGATCCACGTTACCTGATGGACTGGTGCCCACTGTAGTTGGACTTGAAGTAGTCGGGGCTTCTCCTGGAAAAAGATACAAAGAAATTTACGTTGAGAGGCTGGGTATTCTGTTCTATGAAAAGTGTCACAAGATAGCTTTTTATTAGACTTCAAATGACCATGTGTGAGAAATGTGATTCTAGAAACACAGAGCATATGACATATACCCAAACAGCAACCAGGCTCCAGGGACACGTCATCCACAGAGACCCACGTTCGGTTGTCCGTGCCAGTCACACCTTCCAACACAACCTGCAGGAAGAGTGAAACCACATCTTGTTATATTAAGTCTCACCGAATTACACCACTGGCATTAGTGGCTGGCTGTAACCTTGATTTCAGATCAATAAGGACACGCGCTTCTTTGCTGCCCTGGGCAGGGCAATGGTAAGTAGATTACAATATATCTGCAATGCTGTTACAGAATGTTTTAAAAGATCCTAATTTTGTTCTGTGACAGTGTGACGGGTGTACACACGCCATTCAGTGCCTGGCCGTGAAAGAGTTAACCTTCTTTCTCTGACCACAGACAGTCCCACAGCTGTCTGACCTCACTGCAGACATTGTCAGGCTGGGCTCTGCTGGAGGGAGGTTGCTCTAATCTCTGGCGCTTTGTCAAAGGCATTGGGAGCTTTTCTGGCGGTGTATTGAGACAGGGACTTGGGGAGTCAGAGTGCTTTGCGATATGAGGACAGCCTGGCTGCGGGAGCCCATGAAAAGCTGATTTACAAGAGTTCCCTGTGGAAGCGCAAAGAGCTTTTTCTTTTCTCTGGATCCATAAGCTCGTGTTAGTTTTTGGATTTCCACCGGGCTGTGGGTTCCCTGCCAGTCTAACGACAGGTCTATCAGTTCTTGCATTCCCAAATGTGGTATAACACATAGAAGCATCCCAGGTTTCCAATGTCAATTCCTGGCCAGCCCCTCTCTCCGACTTAGACTCAGGGACCTTCCTTACCTCAGTAATCACAAAGATAACACCAAGGATGTTTTTTGGTTGTGTAATCACCTGAAATCTACCAGAAATGTGCAAATCCACTTCTGCTAAAAGCCAGTTGTCTGCCTTGTTTCCAGTCATTAGCCACAGCAGAAGGGGTTTGCGGTCCCCTTCCTGAACCAGGTACACCTTCAGTGCCCCATCCTCTGCTACGCCTGCTATGTGGTATCGGAATCGGAAACACGCAGCCTGGCTGGCAGTGCACTGAGGGCTTATTAGCTGGCCTTTCTCCTCTGGGTGAGCATATCGGCTGTCGGTTGTTATGTAATAGCCATCTGTGAACAAAAGGGTAGCAGGGAACAGTCAGACCACGGGCACATTCTCCTCATAGGTATCAGTTACAGCGTATCGAGAAAACACTTGCCATGCGACATATTGCCATAAGGAGGTGCCGTGGAGCTGCGTCTCCAGTCAAAATCATCGGAGGTGGACTGTCTCCATTCACAGAAGTTGTCATCGAATGAGCAGTTGAAAGGACACTCCCGGACACTCTCTGAAAAGAAGAGTCATTATTTATTGTGTTATTTGCAGAGACACATGTGTAATCAGGTTTCATCATCACCAATTTCAACTGACAGCAATGTTCAAATGAATATTTTCAATGTATTGTCAACCCACTTCAAAACTCTAGATTCTGCATCATGGACCAAATCCATCCTGACATAAACTAGTTCAACTCCCAACAAAATCTATGGCAAAACCTACAAAGAAATTAATTATCATGAGAAATGTACAGTGATCTCAGGAGCAGTATGGCCAAATAACATCCTAAATGTCTAACCAAGAAGGAGTCTTTGTGGCACCTTAGAGACTAACACATTTATTTGGGCATAAGCTTTCATGGGCTATAACACACTTTATCAAATGCATGTAGTGAAAAATTCAGTAGGCAAGTGTAAATATACAGCACATGAAAAGATGGGAGTTGCCTTATCAAGTGGGGGGTCAGTGCTAACGAGGCCAATTCAATTAGGGTGGATGAGGCCCATTCCGAACAGTTGACAAGAAGGGGTGAATTTCACTCCATGCATCTGATGAAGTGGGTTTTAGCCCATGAAAGCTTGTGCCCAAATAAATTTTTTAATCTCTAAGGTGCTACAAGGACTCCTCATTGTTTTTGCTGATACAGACTAATATGGCTACCCCTCTGATTCCTAAATGTGTGAAACCTGTTACAGTCAGGTATGCATACCCACTGATATCACTGAGATAGAATCATGAGCGAAGTGTTTACGTTTCGTGCTGACTGTAAGTTTGAGGAAGCCATGTGTATATTGCTTTTCAATATCTGTTGGAGATGGATGTTAAAGTTAGTATTGGAGTTTTTTTGACAATGTTTTAGACAATGTGAAAGTGGAAAGGAATTTTTCCCCCTTAACTTATCTCCTTCCATTCTCTTCAGGTTTTGCGTAAGCATTATCATTAGAGCTGGACAAATAATGAATTTTTTTTATTCCCTGGAAATTCCAAAAAAAAAAAATCAAAAAATATTTTGTTTCTGGCTGAACTGAAAACAACATTAAAAAAATTCAGCAAATCGAAAAGTAGAACATTTTGGCAACTTTGAAACAAAATGAAACATAAAACAAAATGTTTCATTTTGTTTCAACATAAAAAAATGGTTTAGTTTTTCTGGCATTTTGACAAGAGCACAGGAAGTGTGGACTGTCCTGGCAAACTAGACGGAGAAGGTGGTTGTGGTGGGGAGCCCCTTTGACAAGCTTTAGCGCAGTCGGCAGTACTATCTACCGCTGATTTTCTTCTGGAACGGTCTGCAGCTGTGATCAAAAGTGTAAAGATTCTCTCAGAGCCCCACTGGATAAGTATTGAAAGACCCTCGGCATGGAACAGGACTCACAGACATTTACTGATACGAGCTGAAATTTACCGCAGATAGTGTCCGCCGCCCATTCTCCCAGAGCGACTCCTGCCTCTGCACAGGCTGCCGCATAGGATTCCAGATCATTGCAGAGCTGCTCAGAGCTCCCTCCTGTGGCACACTGGTCATAGACACAGCTCTCAAAGTACAGGTGGGGTGGCACCGCAGAACGGCAGGGTGCGAATGGGCCATCGCGGTCCGTCAGGAGTCGGCACTGCTCCTCGGCTGCCTGCTGCTCGGAGGGAGCGCACGTTACGGGTGGGACGATAGTTGAATTGCAACTAAAATACAAAAAGCAGAAGGGTTAAATACTCCGAAGAGCGCAGTGGTAGTGATCCGGCTGAATTGGACACCAGACAGCCACAGCTACTGCAAAGCAACCCAATTACCAGCTTAACATAAAACAAACAAACCCCTGTGTTCACTGAATAAAACTAGAGATGAGACCAAAATAAAACCCTGGATCCAAACTCCCCCACAGCTTGTGAAGTTTACCAGCTGGATTAATGTTCAGGCTGGTATCATTGTATATGGGTGATTCCAATATACGTACCCAAGTCTCAGTGATTCCAAGGACAGCAGGTTCCCTTAATTTCCTAATTAAATATATGGCCATACTGTATATCTCTCTACTCACGGCCACTCGTCGTCAGGCACCCTCCAGCTGGCTCCAAATTCATTGACGTCTGCCACCACGACCCCATCGGGTCTCGTGAAGTCGTCCTGCTGGGTCCCCGTGTACGTCCCGCACAATCCGCACAGTCTCCCTTTGTACTTCTCACTCACTCTTACAAAGAGCTCGTGGTCCCCATTGAACTGCAGCTGGACGCCCAGGTTGGTAGTAACTTGTACGTAGCGTCCGATGAGTGAAACGGTCACTCCAGGGACAGGAGTTTCAGGGAGAGAGGCCAGGGCACCATTAATCTGAATGGGAAAGAAAGACGGAATGAAACTGGAAAGAAGCACCAGAGTGAAAAGTGTACGTTCTGCACTGTTATGTTCCCAAAGACCCTGTGTTTTTTGGATCTTGCACATAGTGCAGAATAATGAAAAATATTCTGGGGCCCTATTTCCTGTAAGGCACTGAGAGTTTAAGACAGACTATAGGCTGGTTAAAGCAGATTCACATGACATGAAATGCACACAATGGAATACATTCGAATTAGGATGAGAAAGGTGCTTACGTAGACAATTCCTTTCTTCCCTAGTGCAATGTGGACGCCATCCAGGGTGAGAGCGACGGAGTTAATGGCTGTCCAGCTGGGGCTGCCCCGGTGTTCATTGCGGGTGGTAACCCTAAAGCTCCCAGAGGCATTATCGCAGGTCTCCACCACAGTGTAGTTGCAGGCACCCTGGAAGTGGTGAAGTTTCCCATCAAAGGTGGTGTAATGGGGGTCACCGTAGATGTGGCAGGTAGCGGTGCCGGCTGGATAACATCCCCGTAGGCCAGTTTGAATCTTGCAGATCTCATCTGGACCACAAGACAGCTCACTGCACGTCATGTTGCCATTCCCCAGACACTCACACCGGCTTGTGCAGTTCTCCGTCACAACGCTCTCTCCTTCCTGCAGGCAGACACACGCAAGAAATACATAAACGAATGACATGAAAGAGGGTGATGCTGGCAGAGCAGTTTCCCACCCAGCGTGCTCAGGTCAGTGATTTACTCACACTGTAGTATCTGTCCTGGAACACACAGCCGCACTTGGCCTCTGGCACGCAGGCGCCTCCGCTGAGCACGAATCCAGAATTACATGCGCAGCCCTCGACACAGGGCTTGCTGCAGTTCTCGGGGGCGAGGCGGTCTAGACATGTGGCAGGGCAAGCAGTCATACAAGGCTCGTAGTGGCTGTTGGGAGCAGAGCACGTGGGAGCTGGAAGGGTAACAAGGGGAAGAGAATTAGGACCAACAAAGCCGCCTTGGAAACACACCCCACAGGGAGACAGACGCGGTGACAAGGGTTCTTTATTTAAGATCATTTAAAACAAATTTGTTTGCTGACAAAAGACTGGCTGCTCCACATTTGCTACTCACAGCAGAAGGTGGCATTTCTCCAGGGGGGGAGCGTCACCCCGGCTTTCTGACACGCATCCGCGTAGGCCTCCAGGGCACTACACAGGAGCGCCTCACTCCCATTCAGCGCACAGAGGTCATAAACACAGCTCTCAAAGAAGCTCTCAGGATTGATCACGGAGTGGCAGACCCCAAAGGGGCCAGGCCTCATGGTTATCATGCCGCAGAATCTGTCTGTTCTGTAGAGGTTTTCCTGGTCTGCAGGGCAGGGTTCAGGTGGTTCGATGCCACCGCAAGAGGGATCGTCGTCCTTGACGCGCCAGCTGTTTCCCAGCTCATTAGAGTTCTTGGCTTGCTGCCCGTCGGGCATCATATAGTCATCCTGTCTGCGATTGTTAAAGTTACCGCACATGCCACAGGTCCTGTTGAAATAGGTGGTGGGCACCTTCACTTCCACCGAGTGATCGGTGTCATAGGAAACCCTCAGTCTGAAATCTGTCTCTAGGG